GGCCTTCCACCTCATCTTCCATGGTTTCCTTTGCCCAATTAGGTAGTGCACCTGCATGTCTCTTATCTTCTCGTCAGAGTCCCTGGATTCTTGACTTTGGCGCATTAGATCACATGATTGGTAGTTCTCATCTCTTATATGATTTTTAGTCTGTTCCTTCCTCTCAAAGTGTTACTCTTGCTAATGGCTCCTCCACTAAAGTTTTGGGTGTGGGAACCACCCAACTCACCTCTTCTATGTCTCTTTTCTCTGTATTATATATTCCTCAATTCCCTTTTAATTTGATGTCCATTAGTCAAATTACTAAATCTCTTAATTGCTCCGTTACATTCTATCCCTCATGTTGTATTTTTCAGGATCTCAAGACGATGAAGAAGATTGGTACAGGACATGAAGTAGGTGGCTTGTATTACTTTGATCTTGCACCATTTCCCATAGCTCTTCAATCATCTTTGTCTCCTTTCCAGTGGCACTGTCGTCTCGGCCACCCGTCCTTATTAGTTTTGCAATGTCAAGTCCCCAGTCTTAGTCTTAGTCTTAGTCGTGTTGAGTCCATGCCTTGTGAAACATGTCAGCTTCGTAAGCATTGTCGTGTATCTTTCAAACCGAGAGCTACCAATCGTGTTGCTAGTCCTTTTCAGTTAATTCATTCAGATGTATGGGGCCCAATAAAACATATTTCTATTAATGGATTTCGTTATTTTGTGACTTTTGTGGATGATCATTCTCATATGACTTGGTTGTTTTTAATGAAAAATCGTTCTGAGTTATTCTCTATTTTTCAACTATTTCGCAAAGAAATAAAAACTCAATTTGGATGTTCCATTAAAGTTTTACGTTCTGACAATGCCAAAGAATATTTCTTGGACCCTTTTGAGACTTATTTTCATGCTTAAGGCATCATTCATCAATCATCTTGTACTTATACTCCTCAACAAAATGGAGTAGCTGAACGTAAAAATCGTCATCTCCTGGAAGTATGTCGTGCCCTTTTATTCCATATGCATGTTCCCAAACGTTTTTGGAGTGATGCTGTTCTTGCGGCTTGTCATCTTATTAATCGGATGCCTTCGTCAGTGTTACAAGGGAAATCTCCTCATTCTGTTCTATTTCCCAACTCCACATCGTTTAATCTTACTCCTCGGGTTTTTAGATATGTGTGTTATGTCCAGAACCTTGGGCCCAGTCTTGACAAACTCGACCCTCGTGCCACTAAGTGTGTTTTTCTTAGGTATTCTCGCACTTAGAAGGGTTATCGTTGCAACAGTCCTCATTTTCAACACTATTTCACTAGTGCTGATGTCTTATTTTCTGAGTCTCTCCCATATTTTTCTGATTCTACTACCCCTCTCAATATTACTCTTGAGCCTCCTATGCCAACTGTTCCCTCTCTATTTCCTGCTCCCACATCTCTTCGCTCTGTTGTCCCCTTGCAAGTTTATACTTGACGACCTCGACCGCCTACTTCACTCCCTCCATCTCCTTCAGAGTCTTCGGATCCGATGCTATCTATTTTGTCTGATGATTTGCCTATTGCTCTCCGTAAGGGTACTCGGTCGTGTGTTACTGTACATCCCATTTCTAACTTTGTCTCCTACTATAATGTTTCATCCTCTTTATCTTGTTTTTTATCCAAAATGTCTGCTACTTTTGTTCCCAAAACTTTGCAGGATGCTCTTTCTCATTCGGATTGGCGCAAAGCCATGGTAGATGAAATGGATGCCCTTCACTGTAATCGGACTTGGGATCTTGTTCCTTTACCTCCGGGCTCCAAAATGGTTGGTTGTAAGTGGGTCTACACTATTAAATACCTTCACGATAGGTCTATTGAGCGGTTGAAGGCTCGTCTGGTGGCAAAAGGGTACACTCAGACTTATGGTATTGACTACGATGAGACCTTTTCTTCTGTTGCTAAGATTTCTTCTATTCAGGTACTTATTTCCATTGCTGCCAATTGTAACTGTCCGTTGTTTCAATTGGATGTCAAGAATGCCTTCTTGCATGGTAACTTAGTTGAAGAAGTTATATGGAGCAACCACCTAGGTTTGTTGCTCAGGGGGAGTATCATCACATTGTTTGTCGCCTTCAAAAGGCACTGTATGGATTGAAACAATCTCCACGTGCTTGGTTTGGAAAATTCTCTGAGGCGGCATTAGAATTTGGTCTTAACAGATGCCAGACCAATCATTCGGTATTTCACCAGTGCACTAAAGCTGGCTTCATTTTTCTTGTGGTGTATGCAGATGATATTGTGATCACGGGTGATGATTCTGAAGGCATTGCTAAGTTGAAGTTGTTTCTGCAAAATCGATTCCACACTAAAAATTTGGGTAAACTTAGGTATTTCTTAGGTATTGAAGTTGCTAGATACAGGAAGGGTATAAGTTTATCTCAATGCAAATATGTGTTGGACTTATTAGAAGAAACAGGTATGTTGGGTGGTCGTCCAGTTGATGCTCCTATGGATTCAAATACAAAATTTGTCTGATTAGGGTGATCTATTTAATGACCCAGGCAGATTTCATCGCCTTGTTGGGAAATTAATTTATCTCACTATCACTCGACCTGATATTTCATATGCAGTTAGTGTTATAAGTCAGTTCATGGGAGCTCCTAGAATGTCATATTGAATTGCTGTTCTTCGGATTATCCGATATCTCAAGCAAGCTCCAGGTTTTGGGTTACTATATAAATCAAATGGTCATCTCAGGGTGGAAGGTTTTACAGATGCTGACTGGGCTAGTTCTCCTTCAGACAGGAGATCTACTACAGGCTATTGCACATTTGTAGGAGGAAATCTTGTTACATGGAAAAGTAAAAAGCAAACGATGGTAGCTCGATCTAGTGCTGAAGCTGAGTACAGGGCAATGACCCATACCACTAGTAAGTTGATATGGATACAACATTTTCTAAAAGAACTTGGGTTGACAGTTGAATCTCCTACTCCATTGTTCTATGATAATCAAGCAGCTGTTCACATTACATCAAATCTTGTGTTTCATGAGAGGATCAAACATGTTGAAGTTGATTGTCACTTCATTCGAGAAAAAATATTAAGTAGGAGCATCTCTACTCCATTTGTGAAGTCTGACGTTCAATTAGCTGATATGTTTACCAAAGTATTGGGTCATAATCGGTTAGGGACTATCTGTTCCAAGCTGGAATTATTTGATATATACTCTCCAGCTTAAGGGGGAGTGTTAGAATATTTTGGGTCATTATGTAATTACATATAGTTGGTAGAGTCATTGTGTAATTAGCTGAGTCTTGTATCTTTATATAAGCCACTGTAGGCTTAGGGTTTAACAGATATGAGAAACACATTTCAGTAGCCACCATGATCTCTCTCTCTCTCATCAGTTTGAACAATTACTAAATTGCTTCTCAAAAGCAACTCGTAATTCATTCATTTCCAATCTCCCTTCATTTCTGCCTTCTTGGCAACCAAATAGAGTATGTAGTTTTTCCTGTGACCTTGTTCAACGTTTACTGATTTGATTGTAAACCAAGTCAACATAAAAATGACAGACGAAATAATAGGCCGGTCTTCCATCAATCATACAGCAAGTGAATAGTACTATTGAGCTAATAGAGTTTTAGTCTATTTGCAGTAGCAAGTAAATATCATGGGTGTGCCGGGAGCAAAACAAATTAACAGAGGGAATGACATAAACATTTAAGGCCATAGTCAATTAGTCAACATATCATCAGAAAACAAAAAAGCGGCAAAAGATGGCTGGATGAACTGTTATTGTTGCACTTTTTTGGCAATTATCTGGTGCTCCAATCCTAGAAACTTACCAATTTCACTTTCATGAGCTCCAACTTTATAATTATTAGCTGTGCAGTTTAAATTTATAATCTACCTTTAGCATCCCCAATTGCATTATTGTTGTGTAGACTTCCAACATTCTACTGTTGTTGACAAAAATTCCATATTAGCACTACCAATGGAAGAGTTAATTTTTGTTACATGAAAAGAAGATGCATTAGTCATAACCAATTTTTATTACATGAATATACATGTAGGCGTCAGTTGTTGTTCATATTTTAAGTATGAAAGTGCGCGTGATCCATGCCATGGACTATCATGCTACATTAATCTTGTGAATGCAATCTGTATGTATGACTCAAAAAGTCAGATTTATCTCTAGCTAATTACTTTTTGGTCACAAGAAAATAAATTCAGGTTCTTCCTTTAACAGAAAGTCCATATGTCATAAGAAACATGTTTCATAAAAATCAAGCCATATCAACCATCATGTTATGCTTAAATTTTGGAGATACACCAGCAATGTATTTGGCAAAACATAAGGTATTAGAAAATCTTTTTCCTGTCATAATACGTTTATTCATTATTTTGGTAATTTATTTAAAAACTGCTTTTGTCCTTGAAACTGGAGAAAAATGAAAATGACACGGAGAGCACATTTCAAGTACTGTTTCTGAAAAAAGAAGTTCCTGAAAATGCGCCATTACAAGAAAAACTCGAGTCCACTAAAAAAAATACAATTGACACCACCATTTTAATTTTCAAAATTTGCAGCCTTTCATTTTCAGAATCTCCAAAGATGAATTTTTTTTTTTAATGAAAATGAGTTTTCGAAGCAATACCAACTTGGCCCTTGTTGTTTATACCACTTTTATGCATATAAAGCAGTAAAAGTACATACTTTGCATTCATCTATCTTCTTCACATATGTCAGAAGAACTATTTCCCAAAAAAAAAACTATCTATTTGATATCAAATAACATTTGCAGACATGACAGTAAGATAAGTTCACTAGAAATCATTGTAAATGTGTACACAGGCATGTTCAAAATATAAGCCCAAGCTAAAATTGCACCCATTCAAGTCCCGAATTAATTTCCACTAGTTTACGGACAATAAAAGAGAGGCGCAAAAAGAAGCATCCATCACAATTAAAAGTTTATGGAATAAAATCAATGGTACATCTGTGTATGACTTTATGAGTAATAAATCCAAAGCATAAAATTACCTGCAAATCCAAAATGTTGAAAATATTCCCCATATTATCACACTCCCGTGGTAACTCCGGAGCATACCTCCACTGTCCATCAACAATAAACCGGTAATGGTAAACGCCTGATCGGAGCACCTTCATAATAATGAATTCCTTGCCCGATCTCTGCAGGAACTCTCTGATAAAAAAGGCAACTAAAAGTGTTAATAGTGAATAATGTCTTAGAAGCACAAACCTGAAATGAAAGGTGAAAAATGGAACTTGAAGAAACTTTTACCTTGTCTTCCAGTTATCCCAAGACCCCTCAATCGCAACTTGTTTGCCATCATAACTCCACGTGATCATCGTTGGTATCCCTTTCTCAGGAAGCATACCCTCATAGTCTGTTGTACTTTGTGTTGATTCTTTACTTTGGATTTGAATTATTTCACCAGACCTTTGAAAAGGAACCATGGGGACCTGAATGCAGATATGAAGTTCACACAGAAATAAGTATATGTATGTGTTGGAAAATTGTTCTGATGCAGAGCCACATTGTAGTTCCAGATCCACAGAAAATTAAAGCTCTCTCCAAGCAATCACATTTACTGATTCACTTACCCAAAAAATAACACATTTACTGGTTTTAAATGTACAATCAAACCTCAATTGCACCACATGGTTCCATTCATTTGAATCTATAAAACGCCAATAATTCCAACAGGACCATCTCTTTTCACCATCAAGACAACCACACACTATATACAGTATACACCCAAAACATGATATGTACCCAAACTTTGCAATATACTCCTATTTGTTTTTATTTTTTATTTTATCAATGTATTATCAAACTCAGCATACCAAACCCCCATTATTTTTTTCTTCAAAATTTCAATAATTGACATAGAGATGGTTGATGAAAGTGATATATTTATAGTTTGGACTTCTATCAAAGATCTAGAAGAGAACATATGCTAGACAAAAACAAATATAATAAAACTAACAAGGTAGATTCTAATCAGTTCCCACAATAGCACTATAAGTTTTACAATAATTTAACTACTTGTAAAACACTCCTACAAGGCTAAAACCCTTTCCTCCCAAAAAGTATATTATCACATGATTCACAACTTCATACATATGCAACAAAAAACATCATTTTATGAAGAGATAAACATCATTCTTATCTATTCTCCCAAATCCAAAAAAAGCCCCACTAACATAGAAGCAATTACATGAATAAAAATCTTGATTTTACTCAAATTTCGACTCATATATGTATATTGCACACACACACACACACACACACACACATACATACACTTGGACAAACCTGACCTGTGGAGTAAACATCAAGGGTGACTGGTAGGCCCTAGGGCTGTGAGGAGGGGACTGAACCATGGACTCTGGAAACGGGCCAGGCGCATGATAGCTAACCTGCGCCCCACCATGTGCATACTCCATGTATTCTTCACCCTCCTCATTCTTAGTTGCTGAGGGTCCAGCTTCATCTTTCTTGCCGCTGACATTTCCCATTACTGCACAATATAAAAAACCCAGTTCATACATAGCCTAAACCATGATTATCATCAAAAGCACACACACATCATGTGTTTTTTCACACACATATAGATGATAGAAGTAATTTATGAGTGAACAAGAGAAGACCCGAGAGAATAAAAAGTGAGGGGTTTGGTGACATACCCATAACTCTACAAATAAATTGCAGAGACCCAAGAAAGCAAACCACCCAGAATAAACTGAAGGTCGACAGATAACATGATTTTTGCAGCTTTGTCTTCTCTCTCTATTCTCTTTCTCTCTCTGGACTTTCACTCTTTTACATTTAAAAGGGAGCTGAATAATGAAAAGTGATTTTATTCTCCAATGAGTTTGGAAGATCCCTTGTGGACTAATGATGTTGGTTTAAAAGGGTATGTTGCTTTGTCATCATTAAAAACACTTCAATCAAACGGTTTACCTACAAGTTTATGTAGTAGCCAATCAAGGCCTGCCACGTCATTGTTGTGGGATACCACTGCTGGTCTCTCAAATTACCTTTCGAACCTTGAACTTGAGTTATATGTCTGAAAATACCACTAAGTTTGATGATGTGGCATGCTTATATTTATTATTAAGAATGTACTTGGAGAGGATTAGTACAATTGAATTTTGTTACCATGGTCTATATCAGCAGGAATTTTTTTTTTTATACCAATTAGTTCCATTAATAGAAAATCTTTTCACATTAGTAATAAACTTTAATGATCCATTTTTAAAAAAATGGTTTTACATATTGCATGTTGTTTTAGGTCCTTTTCTACTCAGAAATTGAGTCATAAGAAAAATGATATTCATTTGACTTGATTTTTAGTACTATTATTTTATACAAAATGACTGTTCTTGTATACAAACTTCAATTGCATTGAGCAATGCCACCTTTACAATAATTTTTTAATTATATAAGCAAATTGAAAATTTTGACCATCTTTTAATTACTGTTAATAGTCATGACATGAACTTGATGTATTAGCTCACTACTAATTTTTTAATTGTATAAGCAAATTGAAAATTTTGACCATGATATATATGTATTATCTTTTAATTACTGTTAATAGTCACATGACATCAATTTGATGTATTAATTCATTGCTAGTTTGTCACATATAATAATTTTAGGAGTATCGACACTTTGACGGTCGATTGTGACTCTGTGAGTAGGTGCCACAATCAAGAAGAGTCAAGGTGTCGGCAAGTTTAATAGTTTTCATGTTACGTAAAAATTGTACAAATAAGATGATGTTCTAGTCTAAAATATTGTCCACACTTGATTAAGGCCTTCTTGTTGTTGTTGGACAATTACCCCCAACTCTATATCTCAACTACCAATTGAAGGGCAATAATAAAGTAGTTACACATTGTGACAAGGTAGGATTGCTTTAGTGAAAAAATTTCAGAAAATCACAGAGCATTTTGGTAAAGAATCAAAATCCCACTATGTGAAAGAGGAGTGTTTGCATAGTGGCTGTAGGGTGCTTTTTGCCTCACCAAAAGAGAATGGGAGTAGCATTCTTCCATCAACATCTTCCTAAAAACCCTTCTGATCATGAGAGGGCCCTATAGTATCCATCTACCCATGTGACTCCTCTTCCCTTGGCCCATCCTACTGATGGAATATGTCCACTCTAGTGCAGGCTGAGCACCATGATATATACATCTGTGTGTGTGTGTTGTGAGAGAGAGAGAGAGAGAGAGAGAGAGAGAGAGAGAGAAAAGAGAGAGAGAAGTGGGCATCTTCTTTTGTTCATCCAATCAATAATAAGAAGCTAAGAAGTTATGCAGATGCTAGCCAATGCTATGCTTACAATTTTCCACTTCTTGGGTCATTTGATATTTGAAAATCAAGGCCTTGAGAATCTAATGAAATCAATTTTACCCCAAGAATCTTTAGCAGAGAGAGGGAAGGAATAGGAAAAATAATAAAGAGGGAAAAGAAAAAGGGACCAGAAAAGAAAAAGTGGTTGTGGAAAAGGAGAATTTTTGTTTAATAGAATCTCATACACACAGATTGGTAGTTAGATGTTTGCATCAAAGGGATGTGTGACAGTGGAAGAGAATCTACGTGAGTCAGCTTCATTGGCCCACACTTGATAGCAATGTGTGGAGTAAGTATGCTAATTGGACGATTGTTTGACACATAATGGTCCTCCATTTCACCTGAAGTCATCAGTACATTGATGTTTTGTTTGGTTGTAGGGAAATTGGTGAACCAAATTCAAAATTTTAGTGTCATAGGCAGGAATTTGGAACCAACCTGAAATCATTGGCAACCACCTCTCTGCAATTCCCACTTTAAAGGTTTTTATTTTTATTTTTTTATCCACCATTGTTTCTGCTTTTATTTTTCATTTTTTTTTTTGGGGGGGGGGGGGGGGGGGTTAAATTCACATATCCTTAAGGTAAAAGAAAATTTCCCAAATTTAGGGATTTTCAATAATTAATAATTTCATTGAATGGTGAATATAGCATGATACGTAAATATGTATGGAGGCCTCGTGCAATGGGCTATTCCTTTTTTTATGTGGATATATGGAGTCAACCCATTCGAGGATTAACTTAGACTACTAATCTTCCGTTATTGAAATAGAAAAAGCAAATGGTTTGATACAATGACAGACTGAAAATTTGTTTGCAGTGGTTCTCTAATTACCGTGGCAAAAGTCACTTATTATAGGTGCATAGAGTTCTTGTATACTGCATAAACTAAAAGTTGTGTTTCAGACAATACTTGTTTGCTGGCTCTATATCCATTCAAACCACTTAAAATATTTTAGAAGCATGTTGAGTTCAGCAGGATTGATAGTACATACATTTGGAAAAGTTGAAGCTTAGTGGTACTGTGACACCAAGTATACATACAAGTGTGTGTGTGTGTATTTGAAGCTTCTTTATTTGAAAGTCAAACTTTAATAAACATGGGCCATGGTGTGTTTGGATGTATGTGGAAGTGTTTGCTTAATGATTTCTCATCACTATCACAAGAATATGAGTATCCCAAGAAGCAAAAATTATCACTGGCTCAACTTTTCTTCTTTCATGAGGAGACACTTTCAATCCCTTTTGGTGCCATTGGAGTTATTTTGAAACCAAAGACACAAGAAGCTAAAGGTGCATGATTCCATTCGCGAAAGAAAATGCGCGAATGAACTTGTAAAAGAGGTAAATGATCATGTAAACTGACCTGTGGTCTTCCCCAGGAGTGGTCACCTAGGCTAAAATGGAGTAATGTTGAAATTATTGTGGAATGTGGACCTCCATGAAAGCTCTGATGTGAATTATTGGTGCTTGAGAAGCAATACATACTAATCATTGTGCTACATCATTTTTAAATATGGATAATCATCACAACAAAGTAAACTTATATAAAAAGCTGGAGCATAAAATAAAATTACACACATAATGCAAAATTAAGTTGACAATTTCATTCTTGAAAAGCGCTGTGGTTCCAGGAAAGTGTGAACAAACTTTTATTAATGATGATTAGAGGAGCATTGATATTCTTCAAACCTCCACAGTGTTGCTATCTCAACTTCTCTGTCAACTACTCTGCTCTCACAAGTCACAATTGCCATATTATCCACAAGAGTCACTCTCAAAATTAAGAAATGTACTTGAAAAATAAAAAAATAAATCTATCAGAAAAGCCGGTGACTAGTTTTCTAAAAGGATCTTAATCTTTGGTTCACTGCCTAATGCCATTCTCCTAAAGCCGGTAGAATATGTGCTTAATTTGAATCCCCTGAGGCAGCTAGATACCATTGTGTCAATAGGCCAGTGGCTCTTCCAGAATTGTCAAAGCTCCCAATGCACTCAAGAAGACACAAAACTAATAACTGCAGAGGAGAAACACACAGTATTATGCAATCTGACTCCATCATACCGGAGTTCTCCTCCAAGTATTCCAAACATATACTTCACTAGTCTTCAAAATATTACTCTCAATAGTCTCATGTTACTTTGAGAGACTCTCTTCTTTATATTATTAGAATTAAACTGTGACAATAGTATTGTGAAGGTATAACCACTCAGAAGAAATGAAGGTATTCGATTTTTCCAAATATTCCCAACTTTATTGAGAAAGTGGAGGAAAATTGAACGAACCAGTTTAGTTCATTAACTCCCATTAGATTGAATAGCTTTACTAGATTTACATAGAGTTTGAAGGAACCAATCTAGTTTAGACTGGGGGAATCAGTAGAAAATTGGAGCCACTACCACAATTAATCATATATCTAAGATCAGTTTCAGATTTCATAACTGTCACCTGAAACTGTTCACCATCATTTATAGCAATGGAATGATGATATAAAATTTGCACATATATGATGACAGATTTGAACATTATGTTATGAATAGAACATTGGAATAATTCAGTTTTCAAGGGATTGCCGACACACCCTTAGTTATTGTGCCACTCTAAAGGTTCTAAATTAAAAACAGACATGCAAGCAAAACAATTTTTAGCTTCTCATCCCTTCTTGTCTGCTGATTAACTCTCCCCGGTACTGTCAGCTCATGAGATCATGCTCTTATAAATGTATTGTGGATTTTTCCTCTATTGTCTCATTGATATGTTGAAATGGAGAACTGTAGAAAGTCAACTGAAGTTCAAGTTGGTACTTTGTCACGGATTAAATGAATGGTTTTGGTTTTGAATATTTTTCTTTTTAAGTCAATTTTAATATTGTCTTTGATAGGATACCAATTTCAGATTTTTTATGGCTCCAGAAATTGCTTCGAAGTCTAAATCATTGAAACTAAAAGCACTTACAGAATCCCGAATTCCCATTAATAAAAATCTATGAACAAATAAGTATGGAAAATTAACCAATACGAAGCTTCAAGGTCATGTCATGACGCATCATTGCAGGCAAGAAAGATCTGAATATTCTAATCTTGTAGTTCAATGGCATTGCATAATTCGATAAGAACCTTCTGCAGTGCCTGTTTGTCTATCACTCATCTATTAGTGACCTTAGTTGGAAATTTCAATTATAGTTTATGGCTGTCTGCCATCTATTTCAGTTCCCAAAATGGGGAATCAAGCATATGATACTCTGGCTCAGTGACATATATATGGGCTAATAAAATCATTCATAGTGGAATAAATCATTTTTTTTTTTTTTTAATCGTAGAATTAATTGACAAACGGACTGTGTTAACTATATACGATTAGACCTTGCCTTTTCTTATCTCTATGAATGAGACTTTAACCATAAAATCGCATGAAGTTTTCGGCAAATTGAGTGAAATATTAAGTTCTTCCAACCACACCCTCTATTATAGAAGAAAGAAATGTATTTCGTGTGGTATGAGAACCTTAGGGCTGATCATTACCATTATAAAAGATAGGCTAGTTCTGCATATAAGCAAAGCGTTGGCCTCTACTCACTGGCATTTGATTATTTCTTACTTCATTCATACCAGATAGTACCTACATTTGTGATAATACCTACTCCGTAGAACTTAAGCAAACCAAGAAAGACTAAACCACTAGGTCTGCTTGCATCACTCATGACTCGCATAAGAAGTTATTTATTTGTTTTTACCTAACAGAGAGAGTCCTTATTTTCAGTCCAAGAGTTCGGTAATAATAACCCTCCATTTAGAACTAAATGAACCAAGTATAGCTACAAATTTACCAAGAGCCCTTAGTGATTGAATGCATTACATGACTAGTCAATTGTTATGAACACTTCAATCTGTAATCCTTATACCATGAACTAATTAACTAGAATAAGTATCAAGTGGTGTGCCTTTGTAGTGAAAATTTATGCGGTGAGGATAAACTGATACACTGATTTAACATGGATAATAATAATTAATTGATAAATAAAAAGCTAGGATTAATTTTAAAATCCTGTTTCTCCAACTTATGGCCTTCAGCAGATTAATATGTGAACTCCAGAAAAATGCATAAACTAGATTACAAAGTTTTGGTTATATTTTTCTGTTTTTATTACCATAAGCTGTATTCCGAAAGTGCAGTGCATCAATGCAGGTGGGTGGCACCCATATGATAACAAGGTGATATTGCTAAAGTGCTGCATAATATGATTTATTGAAGTAATACGCATTGAGATGTAGATAAGCTACGCGTCACTACGCCTATTTTCCAGAGTATGACCTTGCTGAAGTCACCGTCCATTTTGAGCCTTCGAATTTGCTTTTGCTGAAGTATCATGGTATTTATGCCCCAATCTTCAAAGTAGTGGAATTGTGACAAGCTTTTGGACCACATCTCCCATTGATGTCTTATTCTTCTGATAAGACTCCAGTGTATGAAATATTGAATTCACTTCATCTAATTTAGTGCACTACAATTAAGTTCATCATTTTATTTATTTATTTATTTTGGTAATGAGGAACCGTTCAATGATTTAGTTTTTCATCTAACATTAAACCTTGCTGTGGCTATTTAAGATGCATAATGATCAACTGCAACTCCACTTGCTTTCAGGTACAAGACTCACAACTCAGTTCTTTATCCTTCTTGTATTGTTGTCAATCAGTTAAAAGATGGTGAAAGTGCTGAAAAAAATTATGTAAAGTTGTAAACATTTGAACAACTCAAGGCTTGAATAGTCCTCTCAACTGTGTTTTGTTTTCCAGCAGGAAGTGACACTATATTGTAGCATAATGCTATCTATTAGCTCTTCAATTCTTCGGTATTTATCTTTCCAAAGGAATAAGTAACTTAATAATTCGTACTACTTTATGCTTTTGTTCTGGCAAGCCCCAATGATAGTGAAATGTCCTTAGATATTCCAACAAAGCCTGGTTTATTAGGGTGAGTTTCTTGGCATCCAAACAGCTGTGACATTATCTTTTCCCCCAATTCGACATTATAATCACCACAAACTTTACACGAGAGAAAGCACACTTTCGTCTGAGCAGTAGAGACAGCCAATTTGATGAAGGATAAACCAAATTGATGTCTCCAAAGTTCTAACTTTGAACTTTTGCAAATACTTTTAGATGCTGTAGCCCTAGTACTTGAATAGAATAAATTGTGTTTCTGGAGTCATGACATTGTCAATATTTATGTTGTTTCATTTACTAAACTGGGACACATGCATGAAAGTACTGAAAATCAACAATTTTAATTATATTTTGGATCTTCAAATCACTATAATCTAGGAAATGAATATTAAAATTAAACAACAAAAAGGCAAAAAACTAGTTCTGGTGAATGAGTAAAGCTAACAGGTCTTACAATATTAGAGTAGTAAAAGTTAAATATCATTACTTCCTAAATAATGGTTCTTTGTGTTAGCTATAAATGCATCAATACTTCTAAGTCCAAATGCATCTTTTCCATTAAGTCCAAATGCATCTTTTCTACATTGGACGAAGAAAGTTCAATTATGTTTTAGGGAAAATTTAAGAAAGAAAATACCTCGTTTCCTGCATTTGGTGGACTTATTCTTTTTGTTTTTCAAGAGAAAAGAAGAAAATTTATCAATATTGCAGCGAAAGCAAAAAGCAGGGTAGGGAAAACCCTACCTCTGAAAAGCAAGCATAGAAAAATGCTCTTTTAAGCCATTAAGCTAAACCATTCATAAATAATTCCCATATTTTTTTTAATAATCTAACCATTCCTATTACCATAACAATTCTTTCAAGCTAAAGCCTCTTATTTCACTCTTTTTATATGTTATAACATTAGAAACAAGTTTGCATGGTATCTGTTGATTATAGAATTCTGTTTTTTCTTCTTTTTCTTTTTCTACCCAAATTTTTTCATTTTCCTGTGGCCTTATTAATGAGCATTCCTAAGTGCCAATGTAAACTTATTAATTGGAAAATGTTTGATATATTAATAAAAAGTTTTAATATATAAAACAAAGACACTTTATCACAAGTCCTAGCACCTAGCTCTAGATTCAAAGCAAGATTATTATATCCCAATTCTACAATTACAATGAAAACATTCATCAACACTTATATGGTCCCCTCCCACTTTCCTGAATCGATATTCACATTAAAACATTCCTTAAGCAACACTTCCCAACACCAGTTGGTTTTCTTCATCTTATTCCTCCTTTCAAGACAAAATCTTCTCCAAGCTCGAAAACATCCTCATATAATAGTATTCATTGTTGGAAATTAGGTTTGTTTCCAATGTTTTGTAGGCAAAATGTAGAGCAAAAGGTTGTCTAGATTGGGATCCATGTGGCTCTGCTTTATTTTTGCAACAAGTAGCACTTACAACTGGCCGACAAGTGGCATCATAATCCTTCATTTGTTTATTTATTTTCCTTTTCACTTTTTTTATTTTTTAGTTTTAGGATGTTGTTTTAATTAATCAAAATTTATTAATTTGTATTATATTTGTAGATTTTTAGTTGTTTTGGATTGGAGAATGGTAATGCAGACATGAATAGTATGAAAATTAAAATATATTTATCAAAATATTGGACAAGATGAAGAAAAATAAAATAAAAAGAACTATAAATTCACCTGCAATACAGATCATGAACATATCAGGTGACTCATACAATGACAAAAGGCATGATGACCTGAGAGAAGATTGTAGACAAAAGAAAAAAATGAAAGTGAAGACAGCATTATTGATATATAGAAAAGGCATTGTTTTGCCCAAAAAGTGAAGCAGCAATTAAAATTTCATGCACTTTTTCCCTTTTAAGATTATTTCATCTCTTTCCCAAAGTCCTCTCTCATATGCACACACAAGATATGTATAAAATTTCCAGTGTGGATTGAAGTCATTAAGGTGTCCAGGGTCCTCCATGACCTAAAATGAATGAAAGGTAGTTTCATGTTGAAGCAAAAGACAAATTTACAAGAAAATTAATCTCGGCATGGGCCATAGCTGCCCGGAAAATTGTACTCAACTCATTTCAGAATTAAGTTGGGATAATAATATTAAGGAATATCATTGTGAAACATTTTAATTGCAACTTTAGAGAAGCTTTTTGGAATTTTTCTGAAAGCATCTTGTAAAGTGTTTTATCCTTCCCTAAAGACTATTACAATTTTTCACATTTCTATTAACTTTCTCGGTAGAACTTTCATATTAGAAATTGATCTTATTAAATTCAAACTGGCCTCTGATCACTTTCGGCTTTCAAACCATGTGTTTTGCTTTCATGTCCCTCATTGTTTGCTGCTTCTGCTAATTACATTATGTATCTAAGGAATGGATTAAGAATGAATTATATCAATAAATTATTTTTCGAACATTTTACATTTAGTAATTTTCACATTCTTCCTCAGGGGACCCTTAAGGGATGCCAAGGGCCTAAAATGATTCAACAAGCACCACTTGTAGGCCTCTCAAGCATGGAAACATGAACAGAATAGTGAATAAATTAGGTAAATCAGGAAGTCAAACCCTATGACACTACAAAAAGAAGGTGGAAAAGTCTACCTCATTAGATCAAGTTTGGGCATGATCTTGTTATGTTGGGTGTGTTCCCCAACAACTTTTAGCGACTGTGGGGCTAGGACTGGTAGAAGGTGGAGACATATTTATGCTCTATTTGTCAAAGCATGCATAAAGGCATCATTAAAGGCACACATAAAAAACTAATTCCCTTTTTTTTTTTGGATAATAAAAAAAAATAAAAAATAAAGGATGGATTATGATTCACCAAAATGTCTGTGATATCTAATCAATACATCTAAATATAATAAAACAACAAAATTTAATGTCATGTTTTTTTTTTTTTTCTTTTTTTAAAATTTTTTATTATATTCCTACACAACAAAGCTAATGATTTTGAATGTAATAAACTTGACCTGAATGAAACAATAGTAATCAAATGCTTACTTTAAGCTTCTGATAGAATTTGATTCATGACTCAAATTAATGCATACTTGTTCATTGTTCTTTCCCTATCTGTTTCAGTGAACTGAGGGTCTGACACATGAGCCAACTGATCCTTTATTGGTCACTGACAAGTCATCTGAGGTTGTGAAGTTTCAATGTCATTGCAACAAAGTCTTCTCTGAGTTTTCAGTCTACCATAAAGACTGGCTGAGAAAAAGAGTTGATCTTTTGAGTTTATTAAAGAAAAAGAAAAAAGTTTTGTTTGTTGGGTTGATTCAAATGAAGGAAAGGAAATGAATATACAATTGGGTTTTTTTTCATGTTTGGGTAATGTGCCTTGTCCATCTCTGAATCTCTGATGAAGCTTCAGGTATGGCTGTGACCATGGTTTTCTTGAGCTGCTAAGAAATGGCAGAAGGAGAAAAATATAATAGTATAATATAACATTGTTTGCTTGGAGGGTTTGTTTGTTTTTTCATGGAAATTGGAGGGAAAGTACCATGTGGTGAGCTCAGAGGTCTGCACATGGCTTCTCCAATTTCCAAGTTTTGAGGCTGTAAACAGATATAGAGAAGCCAGGGTTTTGGTGTTTTCAAGAGAATCAGTTGCAGATAAAACCACCTGATTGGTGTTAGGAAACAAAACCCTAGTTTTTTTTAGAAATAGTGGTGGATTGGGAAGTGTGAGCCTGTGATAAGAGATACAACCTAGCCATTTAGTTTCAGTGCAAGCCCAATTAAAGTAACATTTTTTTCTTTCTCAACTTGTTTCCTCTTTTCAACTGAGTTCAGCTATATCTGTTTCCTCAAAATCTAGGCACATCACAGGTTAGATTGGAACTGGCCAGGTTTTTACTTCCCCCTCATGTTCATGTCTTCTTCATACACATATTAATATATGATGATATGCAGATTATATATATATTCAAATCTAATATGATGATCTGCAGATTATATAAGTTTCCTCATTTGTGAACTACAAAAGCAATAGAGATTTGAGCCTTGATAGTGCCTTCCTCTTTTAGTCTCAGTTGCAGTCTTCAATCTTTTTTCAATTTGTACTTTTATTTCAATGTCTCCACTCTTTTCATTTGCAGTTCTTTCAATTAATAAATAATTTATATCTTCTTTTCCCTAGAAATATCTTGCCCAGAGGCTTTTCTAATTTTCTTTTTAATTTCCCTAATATTTGAATTTGAAGAACACAGTTGACCTTCATATGGCTCTTCAATGGATTGCTGTTCTTATCCCATCTTTGATATGTGCTGCTTTTTTAGATTATGGGTTTTCATCTATCCTCTTCACAGCTTTAGTTTTGATTCTATCTTCTATTTTCTTCATATTCTCAAAGCAAAAAACAGTGAAAGATGAGGCTAATAGCTTTGACCAGCTGGAATGTTTTCCTCAGGTGGAGGAAGTTGTACCAAAACTAGAGCTTGAAAAAGAGAGGACTATCACACAAAACAAAGAAGGCCAAGAAGGTGGAGTGGGTCAGATTGATGATCATTTGGTTAGGCCACCGGATTCGTTTTCAGAAAGCGAAAGCATTGACCACTCATCCACAAGTGAAGATTCTGAAGTTGATTGGCCATATTCCGGCAATGTGGGTCAGGATTGCTCCGATGACTCGATCTCAGATGAGGAAAGCCTGATTGAAATTGCTCTCCCAAGTGGGCATTACGTGGGTGCTAAAGAAGAAGACTCAATGTTCCATTTGCAGCCAAAATTGGCAGATTTCTCACCGGAGTCAATATTCCGGCAACATAATCTAGTGGAGCTCTTGGCAGAGATTAATGAGATGAATGAGGAAGATAATTTGATTGAGATTGACATATCCATGGGCTCCATCAAGTGTTCAAGGTTTGAGATTGAAGCATAGTTAATTAAGTTACTATATTTCTAGACTTCTTCTAAGTTCAATCTTTTTGATCCTTATGGATTTAGCGTCAAGATTAGAGTATTAATGCTCAGGATATGAAACTCTATATCCTTTCTTTTGTTGTGTTGTAGACTTGTGGTGAAATGAACTCTGAAGTTTATGGACTTTCATTGACCTTGCCTTCACAAATAAACCTTGGATACTGACTACTGCGGCTTTTGTTTTCTCTTAATGTTTATTAATGAAAAGTATTAAAAGTTTAAAGGCCATGGCCAAATAAATTGAATCCCACTTGCCTTTCTCTATCCACTTTTCTTTCTTTTTCTTGTCCATTTGCTCAGTCTGAAGATCTTCTAATCCACTAGTTACCTCATTTAGTGGATTATTTGATGTGATGTAGCATATATTATGAATCTATAGATTTTGATTCCATAAGGTCAGACTAGTTATGATGCTTCTTATTTGCCTACTAAAATTTTGAATTAACAATTTTTTTATTTTTATTTTTTTTTATTATTAACTTCAAAAGGCAAAACATAAAAAAATAAAAATAAAAAAAGGCTTTCTACTACTAAATTTTCTAGGTAAACCTCATTGAGGATCTGCTAGCTGCAAGAAGCAGAGTTCCCTAGTAGGTTCTACCTTTTAGGTTTATTTCAGCTTGTTATGTTACAAAAGAAAATTGTACATGCATGGTGCATCTCATAGCCTTTAATTTCCATGACAAGGCATACTCATCTAGATGCTTAATTATATTTTGATTGGAACTTTTTATGTGCTAAATGGGATAAATTGCTGTACTGTTATTTAGTGGGATTGAGATGTTTAGTCTAATATAAAAGTCTGAAGTTTGATTAAAAGGTATTTTGTGATCTTAAGCTACTTTAAAATCTGCATTTTCTCAAAAAAAAAGAAAAAGAAAGAAAGAAAAAAAGAGCAAAAAAAATAAAGAAGAAGATAATTTATTAACCAAGAAGAGGAAACATATATGTAAAAGATAAACAAAATGAAGAAAACTCTTGTTGTCAGTTGTAGGTAATCATACAACTGACAACATCATGGGTTCATTATCTCAGTATGGTCTGAAAATTTTGAAAGCAGCCCTGCATTTTTGTTCTTCAGGGATCCAATTACTTCTAATGGAAGAGCATCCCTGAATTGGTTCAGAATTTTCAAGGTTTTTTATTTTATTTTTTTCTTATTATTATTTTTTATGCTATGTACTACTTTCTGGTAGTACTAGTTGTCTAGTAATCGAGTTCATAGTCTATTCATTTGTCAGTTGTAAGTAAATGGTTTTGTAGCTAGCCATTTACTTTTGCTAGACTTGATGAGCCCTTTTTCAGCACAAAGTGTGAGTGTGGCTGCCATATATAGTTCCCTCTTCCCTCTTCTTGTAAGAAGAGGATGGTTCACTTCAGACAAGAATTCTTATTAACTTTACATGTCATTTGAAGAGTTGGAATATGCAAGTGGTTGTCCACTCTCTCATATCTGCATCTCTGATATGGTGGACATATTCTCAGTCACTGCTAAATGCCTGAGCTGCTTCTCAGACTCGTCAGTCTCCCTCTCATATATAGACACACACACACACACACACTAATATACAAAATACAAAATTTTCAACAGAATTAATGAACTGGTCCCTAATTCATTCCACCATTCCACACCTTATGAATAATTAGGATTCCTTTTCAACTGAAGTCATTTTTCTTTATTTTTTTTCTTTGGTAAATCATGTAAAATGAATTTTAGACAGAAAACCAATCAATTTTTATACCGTTACTCATGTATTATTCTTTAAAGTAATGTTACAACTTATCCATTTTTGTAGTAATTTTAATAAATTGAGTCAAACAAGTATTCTCATATTTTTTACAATTTTTTTTAGGGTAAATTACACCTAGACCCCCCTAAGGTTAGGTCATATTTCAACTAGATGAAAATTTTGGTTTTAATTTTCACTTACACCCCAATTTACTTTTTGACTTCTGATACATGTGAATTGACCATTTTACCCTCAATTTTTTAATACAATATATATATATAATCTTAAATGACAAAAAAACCCATACTATATATATATATATGTGGGTGTATATATATATACACACCCACATATATATGTGAATTGACCATTTTACCTTCAATTTTTTAATACAATATATATATATAATCTTCAATGACAAAAAAACCCGTACTATATATATATATATATATATATATATATATATATATATATATATATATTCAACACCGGCAGCTCCTACCATTAACAATACCCCCATCACCACCAACGTCCCACACTAACACCTGCACCACCAACGTCCCACACTAACACCTGCACAACCAACCCACCATAACCAAACTGCACCCCCACCCAACACCTCATCACCACCACCCACCTAAAACCAAACCTAAAAATACACAAAATCCCATCCCATCCACTGCCGAAATGGATGTCGATGACAGAATTGAAGGCGAAGTCGATCGTTGAAGACGACGCTGAAGAGCAAGTTGATATCGGCGGCGGGTGTCGGATTACAACCTCTACGGTGGCCCAATCAATATATTTCGGCACTGAGACATCGGATTACAGGCTTACAGCCTCGACGACGTCGTAATCGGTGGCAAAAATCCTCATCTCGTGCTCCGGCGGGAGGGTTTGTGAGAAGGGAGAAAATTAATGAGGTAGCTACAGTCGCGTATCTGTGTGGAGAGAGGTAGCTACAGTCGTGGCGGCGGTGAAAGAGGTCGTGGTGGAGGTGGTCGCTATAGCGGTGGGAGAGACGATGGGATCAATTTGCCGATGACGACGATTTGTCAAGTCAAACGGCGACGACAGTGGAGAAGACGGCAATGATGTCGAAGCCTCCGACGGCGTTGAATCCTTGTCTTCTTTATTCGATTTAAGGTTTCTTTCTCACTTTCCACCAAATCACACACACATATATATATCACCCACACCATATACCACCCCCGCCGGCCCGCCGCATCACAGCTCCACAACCCACAGCCACATCCGACGTCGTCGTCGCTGATTGCTCTGACTAGACGCACGTCGTTGCTTTGTCGTCGCTTGGGAACACGCCGATATGAACTGAGGTCGATGGAATTGAGTTTTGTTTCGCCGGAACTAGGTCAGTGTGTATTTGCATATCTGTTGTGAGGGTTTGTGAGAAAGGAGAGAGAAAGGGGAAAAAAAGAGGTAGAGAGAGAGAGAGAGAGAGAGAGAGAGGAAGGTTCACCGGGGGGAGGGGTCATAGGTAGTTTGGTCACAAATGTGAGGCCAAAGGGTAGTATAGTCTTTTAACACTTCAAAAGTCTTAAAATTCATATTTGGGGTGCAAGTGAAATGCTAAATCACTAATTTATGTACAAGTGAAATTTAAAACCAAAATATTCATATAGGTGTAATATGATCTGACCATAGGGCGTCCGGGTGTAATTTACTCTTTTTTTTTTAAGTGTTTATTAGTTTTCAATGATATTTTTAGCCGGCTGCTAAACTCAGCTAAATTCTCGAGCCAAGTCGCAAAGTCGGCTAAAGATTCTATTCACTAGGTACCACCTACACACCACGTGACTGATTCTGGAACCGTCGAGATCATAAGACCCCACCACCCGTCCAACACCTAAAAAGTTCCCAAGTAATCCCACGCTTATCGATAAATAAACGGTCTACAATCTCCCACGTGTCACTCTCGATGCGATATAGTCCAACGATCCCCAACCTTCCCGGAATCCATCCCCTCCCCGGCGTTTCCCAAACCTTAGCCGGAAATTTTTTCTCACCCTCACTCCAACTTTCCCGAAAAAATCCCCTCCTTAAAACCGCGATTTTGTTCAAGACAATTCACTAGAATTCCTGAAGCTTCTGATCTGTTATGGCGGATTCCGACAACGAATCGGGAGGTCACAACAACGCGAGCAGCGAGCTATCGGCGAGAGAGCAGGACAGGTTCTTGCCGATTGCGAACGTGAGTCGGATCATGAAGAAGGCGTTGCCGGCGAATGCGAAAATCTCCAAGGACGCGAAGGAGATAGTGCAAGAGTGCGTGTCGGAGTTCATCAGCTTCATCACTGGCGAGGCCTCCGATAAGTGCCAGAGAGAGAAGCGGAAGACGATCAACGGCGATGATCTCCTGTGGGCAATGACGACGCTGGGGTTCGAGGAGTATGTGGAGCCACTGAAGATATACCTCGCCAAGTACAGGGAGATGGAGGGGGAGAAGACCTCGTTGGGCCGCCAGGGCGAGAAGGACGGCTCCGGAGGTAGTGGCGGCGCAGTGATCTCCGGGAGTGGCGCTGGGGGGTTTAACAGTGGTGCGGGGCTATACGGTGGGATGCAGAGTTCGATTATGGTGATGGGGGGCCACCATCATTATCAGGGTCAGATGTACGGTTCTGGTTCGTTTCATCAGATGGGAGTGAGTGGTGGTGGTGGTGGTAGAAAGGGCAGTAGGGGCAGCGTTGGTGGTGGAGCTACCACGGCGGTGCCGAGGTAGACTTGATTTTTATCCACTGTGATTTAGGATTTAATTTTACTATTTTTTGAATGATTCATAGTGGAATTTTAGATTAGATGTTAGGTTTTTGTTAATTTTTTGTGAATTAAAAAAGATGATGTGTGTAATTGCCGAAAAAAAAAAACAAAAAGATTACAAATGCATAAAACCATGGATCAACCTCTAATACTACGTTTAGTGTCAAAGTGAGTGGGAAGAAAGGTTAGCAAAAATCTGTACTTTACAAAAGGGCTTCTCATGTAGAGGATAAGAAGAGTCTGCCCTTCCCTTTGTTTTCTTCCCCTATTAATCATTGTTACTATTGTTCACTTGTTCAAAATGATTGATTTTGCAGTTTTTAGTTTTTTTCCTATTTTAGATCATACTACATGGGATGTTCAAATTTGGTAAGAGTTGAACTGACACATGCGACATTCATAAAGTGGGTGTTTTTTATTTATTTTTTATTTTTTATTTAATTTAAATCTTGATAAGAAATTCACTCATACTACTATATTATCACGTTTGTTTGTAATCTCATGCATCCTATTTGTGTGTTGATTTAGCCGGGATATTTTCTTAATACTTTACATATCTTTCATTCTTCTCAAACAAGCTCTCTCCTAACTCTAAATTCTTCATCTGTTCTCAAGTTTCTCACTGGTTCTTCTATTTTCATGTTTGTTTTTTTAAGATTCGTCTATTGTGTTCAGTTTGTTTATTCTCTCGTTATTCTTTGGTCGTGGCTTTGTGTTTCCTACTTTGTCTGATCCACTTATTCATATATGTTGTCCTCCATTGTTAACACACCTGCTTCATAACAGATAGACCCTTGTCTTGCTAAAAGTTGGCAATGTTTTTTTAGCTTTGTATTTAACCATTGTAAACTTACCAAATACTTGGAAGCAGTACATTGAATTTACATTGTGTTCGGTTACATGGAATTAGTTTGGTGTTTTGGAATTGAAATTAGAAAAAAAAACAAATTAGTTTAAATTTTGAACTATATTTTTTCTAAATCCAAGACACCAATTTCATGTCACCAAATATAGTATCACAGTTTTTACTTAATAGTTTACTTTCATATTTCTGACACACCCTTTATACAAACTAGTACTATAAGTGTGTATAATTATAAAGTAATTTTTTAATATTATATATTTCTCTAATTAGATTTTTATTTATTGAATTTTAATAAATCATATACAAACTAATACGTGTAAGTGTGTATAATTATTAAGTAATTTTTTAATATCCTATATTTCCTTCTCTAATTAGATTTTTATTTATTGAATTTTAATAAATCAATTATACAAGTAAATGATTTCCAACACTTTCTAATATACCCGGCCGCCTTTCAATTCACATTCTTTGCACCTCACATTCTGAGCGTATTAAGGAATGCCGTTATCTAACATAATTGCTACAGTAAGCTGATTTCACAGATCTGTAGATGCCAATGTCCAATGAGATGTGCCAAGTCAGTATTGAATTTTTAAATGGTCGGATTTGATCTGCACAAAATGGTCGGCAAAATTATTACTCCGTACTACAGATCATCCATGGGAGACTTTAACTTTTTCTTTTATAGCTGTCTCGTACTCCTCTGCATATATATATATATATATATATATATATATATATATATATATCATGTACATGGCATGTCTGCCATACAACTTAATTTTTTCTGCATAGTTAAGTTTTTTCTTTTTTCTTTTCTTTTTCCTTCTTATTTTTTCTCACATATTCATCTTGGAAAATTTGGGCAGGCCAATCTGCACTCAATCTAATAAGCCTAGGCTAATTTTTTGCCGACTTTGGACAATTATTCTTCCAATTATGGGCTTGAGTTAGAAAAACTATTAACTGAACTAATTTAGGGTTGGATTCAATCCGAAGTGTTGGAAATTTTTTAATTTTAAAAATACATATGTTTTAAATTCTGATCACTCTTTTTTTTTCAGTTTTCTTTTGTTTAGTAATCTTTATTTATAGTATATTGATACTTTGGAGAATTAATTTCCTAAAAATTTATTTATAGAAATTTATGTAAATTTTCTAAGAAGTTTTTGTAATATTTGTTTGCTAAAACCCATTAAGTAAATATATTTCAAAAGTATTAACTAAATTTTTATAAGACACTGCAGTCATTAAAGCAAAGCCCAAACTGAATTTAGCTTCGGGTTTTGGGCAATTTGACATGAATACACCATACCAATTCGTCATGTATGGATTATGAGTTTTCATTGATAGAGAGTCAATTCTAATAGACAATGGCGTGTATCCGGTAAAAATTAAACCTATAAATTTACCAATTATGAGTTGGGCGCTTGACCGAGGGTTCCACGAAGCAGATATTAGGATGAGAATTTTCATGTATGAAAGAACCTGTGAGGCTGTGAACAAGGCTGGTCCATATTTTGAGGCCCATGACCAATGAGTTGTGAGTCCGTCGAGCTTTGACTTGATAACAGAGTTTCACTCTGTTTAGCTGGATCGCGAATTTTGTTCAGTCTCGACAATTTGAAAAGTTTGGATTCTTAGTTGAATTGTTTATAATAAAAATAGTTCTAACTTCAATATCATATTGGTGTTTTAGTTTCAAGCCATTCATTAGCTTATACCAGCAAGTCCAGTATTCATGAACCATGAATAAGGTCATTTTTCATCCCTAAACTCTCACTTTTTTAAAACTATAATTCACATCTTAAAATTCTCACACAAATCTAAGGTCATTTTTTTCATTCTTAAACTTTCACATTTTTTAAACTCTCATTTATTTCAAAAGATTAAGTAAATTGTATAGATATGTGTGAATATTACAAGTCCATAAATGAACTGGGCCAGAGGGTGGACCAAAGAAGAAAACAAAAGCGCTTATATTGGAGTCTGATTACAGTTAGCCCCACTCATTAAAGCAAATCCCAAACTGAATGGCCCACCTATGACATTTACAGAAAGCGCTATTCTAACACTCTTAAGCAGCAATAGTTTTTCAATCTCTAAATCCTCTTATATGTTAAGCTCCGTTTGGCATGGATTTTGTTTTTGTTATTTTTATTTTTGAACTATTACAGTATTAATTTTGGTAACAAAAATATATTTGGTGCGACTTTGTTTTATTTTATACAGTGCTAAAACACTTTGTGAAGAGTGACTCAAAACCAAAATACTAAAAAGTTATTTTTTCTTATTTTGACAACTGTTTAGCCCAAAATCATTTTTTGCATGTTTCTGTTTCCGATATTTCCACAATAAAATATTGTTTCCAAACGTGTTTCAGTTTTTTTTCTAAAACACTTCTACAACAAAAATATTGTTTCTGTTTTAGCCAAAAACAAAACAACTAAAACAAAACGTATATCAAACAAGGGATATTGGAATTTGATTACAGTTAGTACTCATTAAAGGAAAGCCCAAACTGAATGGCCCACTGATAACATTTACAGAAAGCGCAACTCTAATGGATTGCCAATTTCAAAATATAACAGGTGGGTTTAAAATGGACTCTCCAATGGCATGTCAAATGGACCGCCAAAATATAGTTTTGTCAAATCTTATACCAAATATAACACAAACTATATAAAGCAGTTGCTATAGCAGGTGGGTTTTAAACTTTAATTTTGATTCTTGCATACAGATAGATAAACTCAAATATATGGGTTTTGAACTTCTGATTCTTGTAGATTTTGTAGTTTGCAGTTGCAGAGAGAGGGCAAGTTTAGAGTCGAAAACAAGAATAGAGATGGAGGCGATTGGGGAGGCTGAAATGATTTGCCCTAAAAATATTTTGTAGTATTTTTTTTTTTAGGGGGGGGGGGGGTGAATGGTAAAGATGCGAATGTGATTTTAAAATCAACGATACTCAAGATTTGGAGTTAAAGTAGGATTGGGGAAGCTAGAAGTGGGTTGGGTTTGGTTCAATGGAGGCTTAGAATTGCAAAAATATAACATTTTGAATGAAATGCACCATTGAAGCAGAATTGTTAAAATATAATATTTTGACACTGTAACTTCTCTCAAAATATAGATTTGATATGCAAAAGTGATATTTTGCATTAGAGATGGTCTAATTTAAGCAACAATTTTCTAAACCGTGAATCTTCTTGTACGCTACGCCTTTCCGTCGTCTACGTAACAATTACATTATATTATTATTTAACGTGTTTCACTTCAACACAGGATTCCTCCATTAATTATTTTCAGCCTAAAAACTAAGAAAAGGGTGGTGTAATTAGGAAGGAAGGAAAATAATAAAATGAGTGGAAAAGGGGTGGTGTTAGTAGGAAGAAAGGAAAAGAAAAAGAGTGGAAAAGGAATTTGAAAGGAAAAGAGAGCTGTCAAACGTGGCTACACGTGATACGGCATCTTGATGCCAGACTGTCCTATTTGTTAGTATGTTGCTACCGACACTCTTCGGTCCCATAATTTAACCACCTACATCTATATATCTATTCTAGAACAAATACTCCTTGCTACTTATCATTCACTTAAGGACAACACCTTCCTTCACTTTATTATTATAAACTCATCAATCACTCATTAGATACTATTTTCTTAATTACCACCACAGTATTTCAAGTTTGGTGTAATGACTAATGCGTGGGTGTGTGTTCATATACATGTGTGTGTGTATATATATAGAGGGAGAGTGAGAGAGAGAGAGAGAGAGGGGCATGCATAGATATATAGCCTGTATATCACTTTCACAAGACATGAATGCAAGAGGATTTCATTTCAATAATAATCCATGCATCGACTAATTAATATATATATACATATATATATATATATGCATGTATATGTAAATGTGTATATCTATAGAGAGAGAGAGAGAGAAATGAAAGATGATTTGAATAATAGTAATAATAATCCATGCATATGAATGAGCGATGGTGGGTAGGCAGTCATAAGAATATTGTTATTATTATAGAGAGTCGTAATGATTTATGGGTGGGCGCTTATAATTGAGCTAGTCCCCACCAAACAATGTGACCCTAGCTAGCATTTGGTGGTCAATCCAACTCTACATTTGACGGGCATGCATTGAGATCAATAACCTTACTATAAATGTTGACCATTTTACTATGTTCATTTATTTCACCTAAATATTTGCATTCAATATTATTTATACATAAAACAATGATACTTGGATTGAATTCGGAGCAAGCATAATTTTTCTTATATATAAAGACAATTTAATATGATTTTTTAGTCTCAGTTACGTTTATGTTAATGGGATAATTTGATTCGTGTCAAGTTGGCAGGATTATGCTTTCTATATATATATATATATATATATTTTCTCTTTCTCTTAATTGGTATTCTGAGAAAATTTTTGGTTGAGCACGGTGCACAACACTCATATAAGTGGTGGGACTCAAAGAATAACCTAAACAAATTAATAACATTTTCTAATGTATTAATTTTAGTAAGAGAATTATCGATTGATTTAGGATGATTTCTTCATCTCACAAATATTTATCTTAATAATATATTTTTTTTCAATGATAGTGATGTCAGCTCACTAACTCATATTGCAATCTCCAATCTCCCATCCCACACGAACAATTGCCAGAAATTCCTTGATTTTTATTTTTTTTTTTTTCATTCCTTTTATTTAATATTTTCATTATTATATAGATTGGTGGAAATAATGCTAGAATTACTCATGTTAAGCTAAAAGAATTTCCATCTACATTTTTTATTATTTGTAAAATACACATTTAATAATATTTCAGTCTAAAAGGTGACCCCATTGGCTCATTTTGGATTTACCCTTTTTTTTTTTTTTTTCTCGAGAGTGTATGTGTGAAAGTAACGGACAAATTATGCACATATTATATGTTTATAACATTAAAAACAGACAGTACTATTCATGTGTGTGTTTATATATACACACACTTTATGCGCACACAAACACTGCAGTGAGTGAAGCAACCTCGTTCCCCCTTTTCTGCTTCAAATCAAAATCTCTTCGCAGGCAGCAATATGCAGCTACCGCCGGTAATCATTTTCTCTCTCCTCCTCTTCTCTCTCCTCTCTTCCACCACCCAAGCCCACAATATCACCCGCATCCTCGCCAAACACCCAGAATTCTCGACCTTCAACCACTACCTCACCATCACCCACCTCGCCGCTGACATCAACCGCCGCCAGACCATTACCGTCTGCGCCGTCGACAACGGCGCCATGGACGAACTTCTGTCCAAACACCTCTCCATCTTTACCATCAAGAACGTCCTCTCCCTCCACATTTTCGCCGACTATTTCGGCTCCAAAAAGCTCCACCAACTCACCGGAGGCTCCACCCTCACAGCCACCATGTACCAGGCCACCGGCAACGCCCCCGGAACCTCCGGCTACGTCAACATCACCAATCTCAAAGGCGGCAAAGTCGGCTTCGCCCCCGAAGACAACGACGGCCCTTTCGGCTCCGTCTACGTCAAGTCCGTCCATGAACTCCCTTACAACATTTCTGTAATTCAGATCAGTCACGTCTTGACGTCCACCGAAGCCGAAGCTCCGGCCGCCGGACCCAGCAATATCAGTCTCACAGGTCTGATGTCGAGACAGGGCTGCAAAGCATTCTCAGATCTGTTACTGAAGTCGGACGCCGAGAAGACGTTTACAGAAAACCTCGAGAGTGGGTTGACTGTGTTTTGCCCAAGCGACGGCGCAATTAACGCTTTCATGCCCAAGTACAAGAATTTGACGGCGGCCGGAAAAGTGTCGGTGCTGCAGTATCACGGCGTTCCGGTGTACCAATCGATGGGGATGTTGAAATCGAGTAATGGGTTGATGAATACTTTGGCCACCGACGGATCGAACAAGTACGATTTCACTGTGCAGAACGACAACGATGACGTGACGTTGATGACGAAGGTGGTGTCGGCGAAGATAATGGCGACGTTGATTGATGAAGAGCCGATTGCGGTGTATAAGGTTAATAAGGTTTTGTTGCCGAGGGAGCTGTTTAAGGCGGATCCTGCCCCCGCGCCAAAGGCGTCAAAGGAGACTGACGCAGCGGCGCCGGAGCCAGACACGGCGGACTCGGAGGCGGCGGATCAGACGGCGACCGATAATGGGTCGGTGAGTATCGGAGGTGGGAGGCTTGTGACGGTGGTTTTGGGGTTGTGTTGGGGAGTGTTGGCACTTCTTTGAGCATTGGATGATCTGGCTCACCGACAGTATCATGGATTTTCATGTCACCGTGTTGGGTTGATGACACGTGGAATAGGACGATTGGGAACCAACACTTCCAGTAAATGCTTTTCTGGCAACCGATTTTTGTTGGTTTTTTATTGTGGAAATTAATAAGGAGTCCATGGTCCTTTTTTTTTTATATTTACTTTTCCCGTTTTATTTGATTTGTAATTATTTATTTGTGTGGGTATATAAAAACCATTTGTTTGAACAATAATGCAGATTTGTTTGCTAGTATTTTACAAAACATGTAATAGAGTGGTTAATTCTTGACATTTCATTATAAGTAACATTAGGCATTGTTGTTGCAAAGGTGTCTCAATTTGAGCTACTTGCGTGTTAAATAATGTCAAAAAATTTGTAACTATGAGAATGTAAGGATGTATGAAAAATAGAAAAAAAAAAAAAAAAAAAAAAATTGATATTGGAAGAGTCTCACAATTTGCATTTGACGGATATAAATAGGGGTGTTAATTTATATTCGTGGGTCATAATCGTGTCGTGTCAATGTAAGAGTATTATATTAAATCAGTAAACCTAAACCGACTCATTTAATAATCGTGTAAAAAATTTTCAACATTAACTTGACCTGTTTATGAAACGGGTAAATGTTCTGTTTATCAAAACCAGTGACGGAGCTAAGATTTCAAGTGAGGGGGGCACACTGTCAAAAAGAAAAAAAAAAAATATATACGGAGTATATATATATATATATATATATATATATATATATATATAACAACTATAAAATTCAAAAAGACAAAGAAGAAAAAAATTATTAAAATATAAAAGGAAAGAAAAATGAAAGAATTTTAATAGGAAATAATTAAAAAGTTTCAATTGAGGAAGAAAAATTTGACTTTTTCTATTAAGGAAATTTAAGGAATGTGAAAAGTAAAAGAGAAAATAATAAGAATATAATTTTAGGAACTACGAATTTGAGGGGGGCACTATATAAATTTTTTCATGTATATGGATTTTTTTAAAAAAATCACCACATATATTATAGGTTGCTTGCCAACTCAGGGGGGCACGTGCCCCTCCCTAGGCCTTCATTGGCTCCGTCAGATCAAAACGAGATATTTAATATTTAATAAAATAATAAATAATAGAAAATTTTTGTCACAATTAACCCAAATATTCAAAATAAGAAAAAAAAATCATAAGGGGTGACCAGGTTTATGTTGAAATGATTTAATTATTCATAATAATTGGGTTTAAATAGGGAATATATTACATATGTCATATTCACGATTATAACATATTGAGTTAAACGGGTTACATAGGTTGAACCCCTCAACCCTAATCTGACACTATTAAATAAACGGGTTAATCATGTGAAACTGTTTATGACCCAAATCTGTTTAAGGTTAAGCCAAACTTGCTTATTTTGTGTTGGCCAGTCGTTTTGTAATTTACCAGCCTTATATACAAGTGATTCTATCGCCTCCGTTGAATTTCTTATTTTATACAAATATATAAAACAATCTCAAAGTGGTACCTAGTAATTACTCCTCTTTAGATCAAGTTTGTAAGTAGTTTTTTCGTGTGGAATCGTACCAAAGATGAGTGTGTATGCAAATTTTTTTATTTGTAGTGACCTACTTAGACAGAATGAGTAGGGATAATATGATTTTCATTTCTTTCTTACTTTGGTGTATTTGATAATTAATAGCATGATTGAGTTTGATCCAAAGATTGTGTCGGTGTCCCAAGTTGCAAAAATTTAGATGGAAAAGTCACGGTTTTGCTTATGTCATCCCTATCTAATTCTTTCTCTGGGCAATTTTAATCCGCATTAATGTGGTGACTGGATATCTCATGGAATTTCCATGAGACAATAGCTGAAGTGCACCACTGAATACCTTCATAGTTATTAATGTGTCATAACCTATTTATGGAGTCTACAAAAGTCAAGACTGTTCAAAAGATATTTGAGTTGAAGCTTTCCGAGAAAAATAAAAATAAAAATAAAAAATGAGTTGACAAAGCTGATGATAAGAATTTGAATATTGGAATCCGGATTCCCTCCTTTATTTGATTTGTAATTATATTTGTGTGGGGTCCATAAAGCATTTGGTTGAACAATAATGCAGATTTGTTTACTATGGTATTATTTACAAAAAAAGAAAAAGAAAAGAAGATAAAGTATAATTTTACTATCTGAAGTTTGACAAAAAGACACTCAGAGAAAACTTAAATGTTTTTGGATAAAGACACCCCTTAAAGGTTAAAAAATGGACAAAGATACCCCTTTACATGAAAAATTAACCAAATTACCATTTGACCATTTATGAGACTTTTTTAACTTTACAATTTAACAAACTGGACCAATCTACCCTCATGAACAATTTATGAATAAAAAAAAAAGTTTTAAAAAAAAACTTTATATTGTTCACCTTTTTTTTTTTTTTTTTTTTTTTTTATATGTCCCAACTTTTTAAAAATGTAGACGTCTAAAATGATTTTTTGATTCAATACATATATTTCAAATAAATTATATTTTGTTATTACTTCTTTTCTTTTTCTTTTTTATTTTTAAATTAAGATGTTTAATTCTTTCATCTAAAAAAATTAAACCAATCTATTTTCCTTAACCACTTTTTTTTTTTTAAAAAAAATAAGTACTTTTAGCTCCTTTTTCTTGATTGCCTCCATGTAAAGGAATAAAGTTGTTAACAAAATTTTAGAGGAAATCAATAATCTCTTGGAAACCTCAAAGAAATCAACAATCTGAGACATTTCAAGTGTAACTTTTTCCCGAGTTACCTGGTGCATAAGATTGTGTATGTGAGTAAGGGATTAGTTTCAGCTCAATATAAAAATTGAGTGAACCTTCTCTAATAGATAAATAAATCAATAGTTTTTGGCAATTGTCTAGTAGGTTTATGTTATGTTGTGTGTGTATGTGTTTTCCTTTTTCCTTTTTCTTTCACCTGCTAGATTTGAGGCACATCATCCTATTTATACTAGCACACTTATTTATTAAAAAAAAAAAGGTGGTTAAGGAAAAGAGATTGATTTAATTTTTTTAGATGAAAGAATTAAGTATCTTAATTTAAAAATAAAAATGAAAAAAAAAAGAAGTAATAACAAAATATAATTTATTTGAAATATATATATTGGATCAAAAAATCATTTTAGACGTCTAAATTTTTAAGAAGTTAGGACATTTTTTTTTTATTTTATAAAAAAAGTGAATAATATAAAGTTTTTTTTTAAAAAAAGTGAATAATATAAAGTTCTAAATTTTTAATGCATAAATTGTTCATGAGGGTAGATTGATGTAATTTATTAAATTGTAAAGTTAAAAAAAGTTTTTTAAACGGTCAAAGGGTAATTTGGTCATTTTTTCATGTAAAGGGGTGTCTTTGTCCATTTTTGAACCTTTAAGGAGTGTCTTTGTCCAAAAAACAGGTAAGTTTTCTCTTAGTGTCTTTTTGCCAAATCTCAAAGGGTGTGACTGTACTTTATCCCAAAAAAAATATAACCAGTGGTTATTACTTTGACATTTAAGAATGAGTAATGTCGAAGGACGAAACGAAATTGGGAGTGGAATCTTTTGTTCTCTTCTCCCTTTCGTCCAAAATCTTCAATTTAAAAATCATTATCATTTTATTATAAGAAATTAGGTTTATTAATGCTAGAATGCATGTATAAAATACTGTCATGAGGAATCGTATCAAAGTTGAGTCTCTTTAATTTTTCTTTTCTAGTGTCCCACTTAGACAGGGTGTACGAATTATATGCTTTTTATTTTCTTCTACTTTGGTATATTTGATTATCAATAGAGTAATTGAGCCCTAAATTATTTTAAATTAGTGAGAAGACAAAGTTTGATACAAAGACAGTGTCGGTGTCCAAACTGTATAAACTCGGTTGGAATTGGAGTTACTGGTTTTGCTAGTGGTACTTTTTCAGAATCTAGCTTTTTAAAGAATGGTTTTTATTATTATTTTATTATATTAGTAATAAATAAATTATCAAATCTACTTTTAGTTGGTCTAACGTGATTGATTACTTTTTATACCTTCAATACAAGAAGATGAAATTGGAACAGATGGAGTATAAAAAATAATACATTCACTTTTCATACACTTAATTTGGAATGAATAAAAAAAAAAATATAGATACTTATTTTGGGACGATCTAAAGTTTGTACATTAATGTGGTGACTAGTTGCTTGTGGAATTTCCATGAGGGCACCACTGCAACCTTCAAAATTGTTAGTATGCACTAACCCATTCTCACGTCAGTAGTTAAGATTGTTCAATAAAAAAAAAGGTTTGAATATTTTGTAAAATAATGTTAAAAGATAAAATACTAACTATATTAATTTGATATAACTTTTGCCTTAATTTACTTGGAAACAACATTTAGTGATTTTCAAATCCATAAATAACTAATGTTTGGGATCTTCTCTACTTGAAGATTTTCCTCCCGACTGAAAATTTGCAGATATGGATAGAGCGTGAAAAATTTTCTCTCTCAATTTACCGATACTACCAAAGGTAATCAAACTACCAAGGTAGTAATCAAGCGTAATGTTAGTTTCCTCCCATATAAGTTTCCTCCCATATATCATTTTAATATCTATATATTTATATATTTCAACCATAATGAACCATTCAAACATTTAAAAACAAAGAGAACAAAAATAATTAAAAATAATAAACAGTTAAATAATATCACCCTATAGAAGTAAAAGATAGATGAAACATTTTATAAATGAAAAAAAGCACAAATGAATGAATAAACCAAGTTAGTAGCGTTGTTTAAGCATGTATATGAAACATGAATATGGTCTTTAAAATAAAAATGTAATGAATAAGCTATTATTTATCATCATAACTGAATGATAGTTTCGCATAATGAGTTATGGATTCTGATTCATTTTGATTAAACTTCTTGACTTAATAATATAGAAGTTGTTTTTAACAGCAAATCAAAACCCAATTACAAAATTCATGAAACCGCCAAATTATTTTTTGTAATATTTTAATTTTTTTATTATATACACGGTTTGTTATGGATAATAATTTCTCATTTTTGGTGAATTTATTATTTTAAAGATAAATATTATTTGGTTGATGTTGGTCATTCGATAGTTAAAACTTTTTCTAATAACATATCAAGGATAAAGATCTCTTCCTAATTTGGAACAATGCTTGAGTTCTATATTATCGGAACAATTTTAGTCTTGCAAGCTGAGTTGGCTCAATAAGAGGCTGACACCTCTATTCAACTCTAAAAAATACAAAAAAGAAGAATGGGTTATACTGGTTTACTTAAGGCTAGACTTGACATGTCTTTCATTTCATTTTTGTTTTTCACTCACCCCATATGTTTATGTCTCTATTGTTTTTTTGTTTCTCTCACATCATGCTCCCATCTCTGTATCACCTCCATTCACAAATCCAAACTCTAGGAAACGTGGCTCAACCCCTTGATTTCGGACATTGTTCTTGTCTTAGCAAGGATTGATTCAAATATATATATATTTTTTTCTTGATTCACATTCTTGAAGCAGGTATATATGTTCACACATTATATTTTCCAATGCAAATTGTTCTTCCTTCTTTCAAATAGCTTAAATCAAGTATAGGTTTTGTTGAATATTTGTTCAAAACGAGCTTAATTCAAGCTTAATTGTGTTCAAATCTTGGGTTTCTTTCCTTTCAAAAACAAAGGTTTTTGTTTGTTTCCTTTTCCTCTCATAATTATTTAGGTTCGTTTTCCATAAATAAAAAAAAAAAACAAAAAAAAAAGGCTCATAATTATTTAGATTCGTTTTCCATTAAAAAAACAAAAAAAAAAGGGAAATTCTTCTTATTTTTTTCCTAAATGGTATTCTTCATTTTGATTAGTTCAAAAATGTATTGATAGTTTTAGTTTTAGGGTGAAGTTTCATTCAATTATATTATTTATTTATATATATATCTAGTCATGTTCTTTAACAGAAGGGAATAAATGTTCTATAGCTGTTATCTAATCTTCACGTCTCCAAGGAAAAAAAAAAAAAATTATTAAAAAAGTAAATCAAAAGAAAGGTAAAGTGAAAAGGCTTTTTCTTCAAATTCTAACCTTCAAGTACAGGAATTCATTGTAATGCATAAACCAAATAAAAAAAATAAAAAATAAAAAAACACCTATGGACAAATTGTGCAGTATGTGGCAAAAAAAAAAAAAAAAACACCTATGGACAAATTGTGCAGTATGTGGCAAGGGTAAGACCTATGGACATGTGAATATGATGTGAGAGAAACAGAAGATAAATGAAGACATATGATAGAAAAACAAAAAGGAAATGAATGATATGTCGAGTCTAGCCTTAATAAATGGGTATAACCCATTCTTTGTATTTTTTTAGAGTTGAATAGAGGTGTCAGTTTTTTATTGGACCAACTTAGCTTGCAAGACTAAAATTGTCCTGATAAGACAGGACTCAAGCATTGTCCAATTGGATGTGATAGTCAGCCTATAAGTTTTTCCTAAACATTTAATCAAGCACATCCCTCATTTAAGTGTTGTAGAATGAATTTTTAGTTTGTGGAAGGCATGATGGAAAATCTTATAAAATATGCATAATATTGATAGTGATTAATTGGATGACTACTCTTTACAGCTTTATAAGGAGGGATGCTATTGCGGACTTAGAATATCAAACATATGATAGAAAATGAGGATTATTTGTTTGGTAAATCAAATATTCAGGTTGCAAGCAATGAAAGTACTTAAAGTTATCTAGAATAGAATTGTTACGGTTGTGTAGATAAACATTTTGTTTACTAATGATGAGAGGATCATGTGACTGGGATTGTTTTAAAGCTAATTTGTTATTTTTATATATGACATTTTGGATTAAATTCAATTATATTGAATGATTTATTTGTATTTGTATTTAGGAAATAGTTGTATAAAAAAAATATTAATTACTTTATATTGCCATATAGTCAAATAAAAATAAAAAAATAAAAAATAAAAAATCTACTCTGCAAAATAATATTTAGGTATTAGAAAAGTTTCAACAAATGATTTGTCAAAAAAAAAAAAAAAAAAAACCTCCATTAAAACATTTTTTATTATATCTTTTTCTCAACCAAGTAAAAAAACCATTACAACTCCACCTACTAATCAATACAGATAAGACCACCCTGAATCTATGCAGATTGTAGTTTCAATTATTGTTCAATGTACAAATTATACATAAACTTCTTCCATCTCACAATATCATTTAACTTTCCAATTATCTACAAATTAGACTGATCCAAAGAAACATCACTAATAACAGTCAAGAACATGACAAGGAATGGCACATAAGTGGTGACCAAGCAGAGGCCATGGTAGCAGCTCCAAAGTACCAGATCAACAGCCCTCGCAGCTATAATCCGCGTAATGGACATTGTGCCTTGCAGCAAGATAATGCACTCCAATCGGTCCTCTACTTCCATAGGGATAGAGCTCAGGCGCGACTTTCTTCTCTTCCAATTCCTTCAACAATGGTGTGAACAATGCCCAAGCAGCATCTAGCTCATCGCTTCTGATAAACAAACGCTTCTCTCCTTCTATGGCATCTAAGAGCAGTCTCTCATATGCATCTGGTATTTCTTTTGGATACCTTCACAAAACATAAACAAAAACAAAAAAATGATCGGAGGGCATGTCACAAAGGTTAATGAATGTTCTTTGTGCCATTTACTATCACTCACATCTCTTGTATTTCTTATCAGTTAACCTATAAAACTACTTAATGTATTGAGTAAAGTATTTGGTGGGTACATCCAATTGTAGCTTTAGGATACAATGTAGCCTGAACTTAAACAATTTTTATCTTACTAGGAAATGCAAATAAATGTGGCAATGTTGTGTAAACTTTACTGAATACTTTCCATTTCCTAAATTGTTGCCTTTTAATGTCTCCAAGAAGTGGCTAAGCTACACAAAACCTAATTGCAGGTAAATTTCCACCCTCAGCTCATATGTTTGAAGTATCTTACCTTTCTTTGTAGAGCAAATTAAGGTCACAGCGGTCCAGTCTCATTCCTAGACCAGGAGCCTTGTTGTGGATCTTCAAATAAATAGCTTCATCTGGCTGTACGCGAATCACAAGCTCATTTGTTGCCTTATCTAGATCAGTTCCAAACTTCCGGTTGTACAAGTTACCGGGGACATGTCTGAACTGAACTCTGATTTCTGCCCTGCATTCTCATTCCAACAACATTTTCAGTTTGTTTTGTTGTTTGAAACTCCACAGTAGACAAATGGAAAGTAATTGAAGAAAAATTAAACCTCCCGAAAAAGAGAGACTACCGTTTGGAATGTAGAGCTTTGCCTGCTACCATTAGGAAAGGGACTCCATCCCATCTAGCATTATTAATGAAGAAAGTTGCAGCTGCAAAAGTTGGAGTGAGACTGTTGTTTGGTACAGCCGGATCATCTGTATAAGCGGGATATGAAGTGTTGCCCTCGTTAGAGGCCTTATATTGGCCCGTGACAACATCTTCTAGCTGAAGAGGTCTCATTGAGCGCATTATTTTAACCTGATACAAAGTTTTGGTCATACACTCATCGTAATCTTGTTTCCATACAAAAACAAAATGACATGAACTTTTTTTAATGATAAAAAAAAAAAAAAATCTATAAGAAATTGGCCGAAAAATAATGAAACTGATATATAGATTGTAACAATCAGAGAATACTGATACCTTTTCATTCCTGATGTCCTCAGCATCTAAGCTGACAGGTGTTTCCATTGCAAATAATGCTAGTATTTGCAGAAGATGGTTTTGCATTATATCCCTGATAACTCCATAGTTATCGAAGTACCTAAGAAGAAAAACAAACGAAATAAAATATTCTTCACATGAATCATATCTCACACAAGGATACCAATGTCATACCAATAAGAATATCGGCAAGTAACATATTGAACTAACCTGCCTTGTCCCTCTGTCCCAAAATCTTCAGAAAATATCAGTTGCACGTTGCGAATGTAGTTCCTGGACCATAAAGGCTCGAAAACAAGATTTGAGAAACGAAGAACCAAGAGATTCTCAACAAGCTCCTCACCCAAATGATGGTTAATTCTGTACAAATAACAAAAACTGACAAGGTTAAACAAAATTGTCCTCCCTTGGAATCTGTCTAATCAAACAAAAATGCACGAAAATGTACCTGAATATTTGATCCTCCGTTAGATATTGCTTTAAACCTCTTGTTAGCTCTCCGGATGACTTCAAGTCACGACCAAATGGCTTCTCAACAATTACCCTTGTCCACCCATTCTCTGCAGCAGCGCGATGTTTAGCACATCTCACCACATCCTCAAACACATTTTGGGGTACCGATAAGTAAAACAACCTATTCGACAATCTTCCAGCCTGAAAGGAAGTCTTAGATATTATTAAAGCATAAAATAGCTCATGAAGATTAGGATCAAGGCTTATTTTTTTTTTATAGAACAAAAGAGAGAGTTTAATAATCAAAAGAAAGTAAGGAGTGCAAATTACAAATAATAAATCCCATCAATTTATTATATAATTTGTATCAGATAATTGATTTTATTCTTTTCAATTTTCACCAAATTGAAAAGAATAAAATCAAGAGAACACTCAGAAGTGTCCTACATTATAATGAATCAGAAAATATGAGTGAAAATGCAAGGAAGATTGAAAGAAAACAATGTGATGCTTAAGAAGAGGGGTTATGACTATGAATCTATGATGCGAAGAAGGAACATTGATGACGATTAGAAGGAATGTATCATCATCCCTCACACATTCAAATTTTGATACTTCGAATGAAAAATGAACAAAAAGAACCAGCAAAATTTTCCCCACATTGTGCTCAGTTATCTGTCAATGGTATGTAGACCACGATAAATGCCACTTTTATGCTAATTGTAAAAGATGGGATAGATGCATGAATAGGCAAAATCAGGAGAGACCAGGACTTCAGATCAGGATCCTTTCCATTAATAGCTGATTTCCACTTGCATCCGGTGGATAACGGTCAATCTTTATTTTTTATTATTCATGTGACACAATGCTGTCCAATTAACGATTAGTGGAGAGGATCCGAATCCCGAGACTTCTTGGAAATAATTAAAAAGAAATGTTACCTCTTTCTCTCTTAGTTTTTTGTCCAATTCTGAAAAATGCTCCTCTGAACTATACTGGCCTGATTGGTAAAAACATCTTTTTAAGAATTGATCCATCTTCTCATTACAATTGTCCCTGTATTCTCTGACAAGATTAGTACATACATACAAAAACATAGGCAAAATATTGCATATGAGAAAGGTTTGGGGAAAAAATGTTACACCTCTTGTCAATCCTGCAAGTCAAGGTTCTGCTAATGATATCCCTCAACTCCTCATCCTTCATTACACTTCGTCCATATCCAAATACTGTGAAATTCTGTATAGAAAATAGTGAAAAAAGAAAAAAAATTACTAACATTTCAATTTATATGCACAATTATAAGTAACAATCCATGAAGAATGTGGAATTGAACCTCAGGTAGACGATCCTCGAAGAAAAGAGCAAAAAGTGCAGGAAAAATCTTTTTTCTGGCAAGGTTCCCTGAAGCCCCAACAACAATAATACTGAGAGTAGTCTCCGCCTTCTCCAATTCAGAGAAATGAAAGCACTCATCTCTGAATCGGGTCTCGACATGTTCTTCAGCCAGAGCATCCCCTGCTAAACCTTTACCACAAAACCATCTCAAATAAGCAATGGGAGATTCACCCGAAAAGAATTTGATTGCACAATATAAATGAGCATATAGCCAAAAAACACAAGGGAAAGGTACAGAAAAATATTTTATTTTATTATTATTTTTTTTTTGAAGTTTAAGCAAACTCACACATACCTACAATATTGCCCCTAATAGGGTTTGAAAACTCAATCTCCCTGAACTAGAGAGATCATACCATTTAGACTAATGCCCGGTTATAAGAGAATATGATTTACATTAAATGTATCTGTTATTTAATTGAAATAAACTGGCCTTGACGAATATAAACACATCATATTACTATGGAAATGAAGGAAATCTTTAAAATCAGAGAAAGAAATTAAGGTGGGAAAGCAATTAAACAAATGAATCGAATTTGAAATAGTACCCATATTGAGTTATTGAAACATTTTCTCAAGCAGATCAAAATTACAAATAGAGCTTCAAAAGATAGGAAATTTTCATGCAGTGTTGGAAATAGCTAGATTGAGACAAAGCAGTAATGGAATGAGGAACTCACCAGCCTGCAATGAGACCGCGCTTAGCGGGTGCAAATTGGAGGATTTGAGCTCAAAATGCTTGCTTTGATGGATTCTTGAGCGAGCCCGAGAAATCCAAGTGGAGTGATATGTTCTTGTTGGGAATGTGTCATGATGTGAGGTGGCTATGGATGAAGAAGGACAAGGATTACTCAGACGTAAAGCCATGTATATAGTATTGTGTAGACAGAAACAAGCTTACAGTTTGATCACTTCAAAAATATCACCAAACCAACCATGAAAACATGTTCCAAGAAAGGTTAATGTATATATACACACACAAAGCATATGGCTGTTTCATATATGTTGTAAAGAAGAGACCATCAGGACTTTAATACTCTGAAAGCAACCTTCTATGTCAATTCTCTCTCCCCACCAAACCTTGGAGGGTTGAACCATTAAGAAGTTGCAAACAACTTCTCTCTCTCTAGATTCTTGAAGGTTTGAATTTCGGATGGGCAGCAGCCGGGCACTTAACCAAACTTGTGTGTGTGACTAGCTTCTCTTATCTCCTCTCCACCTTGTCAACTTGTACTATTTGACTTTCGGATGGTCACACCATACTGTTCAACCTATACCTTCAACAATGAGTTTTGAAGGATAGAAAAATAAAACAGGACTTCTTATGCCCAAGTAGAGTTGGTCCTCCCTTCAAATTGATCACAATCTGCGCTAAAACGGATAAAACCTCCCAACGGACCATCTTTTTAATGGTTTTCATTTAGTGGTCAACATTTGGACCATCCGGTGTGCAGCACGGGGTGCTCGTTTTACACTTCTTTTTCAATAAAATATAGGATCACTTTAACAATTGTGCTGACATAGTTCAACATTTTTTTTTATAAAAAAGCTCTAACTTATTGGCGTGCTACTTTATTATTTTTATTAAAAAATAAAATAAAATATTTAATTTATTTATTTATTTATTTTTCAACGATTATACTCCCAACAATTATATTACTAACTGCTATACTTGTTTATTTTGATTATATCATTTATATGTTTTGAGAAATTAAAAATATATATGTATTTACAAAAAAAGATACTCCGTATTATATATATATATATTACATAACTTCCTACAAATAAAATAAAATAATACAATTCAGGGAAAAAAAAGAAAAAAAAAATACATTATTACTTTTTCACCTATAAAAAAATATATTAGATAGTACAATTAACCGCCCCTTTGTGTATAACGCGCCGTAAACTCATTTTGTCGATCTTTAGAAGAATGTTGGCGGCACACATTTTTGATCGTTTTATAAGAATTAGCAATAGAGCGAATAATGTTGATCTCATTAGACATCTGATGAAATATTTGTGTAATCAATTTGGTGATGAAGATATTTAAATTTGACGTAATCGAATAAAATGTAAAGTAGGAAAAAAATAAAATGTAATTTTTATATTATTATGCAAATTAATTAAATCATTATGTAATAAATAAATAAATTAAATTGATAAGTTAAAAAGTACAATCTTTTTTTAAAAAATAATAATAATAATTAAATTCTTATGCAAATTAAATAACTCTTTTTAAATTAATTTTTTAAATTAATTAAATTATGATTCTTTTTAAATTAATTAATTAATACAATACTCTATAAAAAAACATATACAATAAAACTTAAACAAATATATAAAATAATTATTTTACAAGCCATCATTTTTTTATTTTTATTTTAAAACATAATTGGATATATAAGGTCCACCATTTCGCTCTATTTGAATCCAGTGTAGCTTATCGACTGGGGGCACGAGTGTGAAATCCTATACCAAACCATTTGAATCGCCATTCACCACCACGCTCAGCCAATATTCAAACAAGCTGATGCGAGGGATGCCCTTAATAAGCATTGATCAAAAATCATAACACTCTAACAATCAAAGTTTTGATTAAATTGATTTGTAAATTTCATTGACTTGAGCCATTTCTATTAAACAAATTATTGGTGATGTATTTTACATTAATATAATACAATATTTTGGTAAATAAGATGGATAAATTACACTTACTTCTCCTGATGTTTGATAAATTTCACATGAGTTGAGCATTTGAAATTTATACTCTGATCTACCTTGAGATTATAAAAAGTCAATTATATCCTTATATGAAATATATTTTTATAATACAAAATATATTATAAAATCTAAATAAAATTAATTTTCTGCTTCATCTCTCTTATCACTTTATCTCTCTTTTCCACCACTGTTACCCCCTTTTAAAAAAAATATTGTAAGGGCAACTCGATCATTTTATAAATTTTTTTTAATAAGTTTTGATGCAGAGGGATTGTTGAACATACACCCAAATCTTAAAGGAAGGTCAAAACAATAAATTTGAAACATTGCACTTGTGTGAGATTTTTCCAAACATTAGGGATAAAGTGTAATTTACCTAAATAAGAATGAATTGGCGGTTAATAATTAGCCTTAAATGCTAAATCAAAAAAAAAAAAAAACGAAATTTTTAGATATATAAGAATAAAATTAAAAATTATAATCGGGCCATTGGGTAATGTGCGGGATGACCGTTCTTTAACTACCCGGTAATCGGGTTCTTAGCGAATCATATAACAATCGGCCCATTTGATTTTATTATTGGCGTTGTTTGTCTTTTATAAAGTTGTTGGATTGAACATTGTGGGTGGAAAAACAGTAACAATGACTATTAAGTCGTGAACGAACAACTAAACTCAAATGAGTCTCGATCAAGCATTCAAATGAGTCAAACAAATAAATTGTGTAAAGAAAAAACAAAAAAAATAAAATAAAATAAACTATTTTCTAATTTTTTTTTTAGGTTAGCTCGTAGCTTCAATTGTGCAACTCCATCAAAAGTAAAAGACTGAACTATGCTAACTGTATAGATCTTACACAAAAGCTCCTTGAAAAGCCTCAAAGATATCACTTGGCTACAATGCCAGAAGAAAATAAAAATTGATTTCAACAATTAACATATAAAACATCTTCTTTTTTTTTTTTTGGGGTAAAACATATAAAACTTAGGTTACATATTAACACTGCCAAGTACCAACGATGCAACTTTCAAATACAAAGTTGTAGCAAGTGAATTGTCATCACCACTTCAAAAGAAAAAGAAACAAAACCGAACAAAACATTGTTAAATATTCGTATCAACCAACAGAATATAGAAGATGCATTCCTCAAAATTAAGATATATATATATATATTCATTTTCCCCATTTCATATATATATATATTTTTTTCAAACATGGAAACCAAAAACAAAGAGCAACAAGAAAAAAGCAGAGTCCCACAGTGTACTAAGAGGGTTGACCGGGAAAGCCAAGCGCGATGAAGCTGAATAATTGTCATAAGGAAGATAAGTGTAAGGTAGAGGAGGAGGATATTGGCAGCACTGAACTGTTGCTGGTGGGCAATTGCTTACAGCAGGAGGTGATGGTGGTGGTGGTGAAGCACCGTCTGATGGATATCCCGACTCTGGCGTAGGTTGTGGTGGTGGTGGAGCACCGTATGATGGATATCCGGACTCCGGTGGAGGTTGTGGGTGGCAGGGATATTGACATATAGAGCAGTTCACACAAGCATTTGGTACTGTAAGATTGCCATCACCATAAACATCATCTGTTTGTGCGCGGTAAATATTAGTGACGAAAAACCAGAGTGCTAGCACGAACATAAGCTGCCCTGACATAGACATTTTGCTTCTATGGACTGAAATATTGATAAATCAAAGGGATGGAGAGCAAGATGAAGATTGGTTGTGTCTCTTATTTCCCAATGTATGTGTTTGTGTTATACAATTTTAGTCTGAAATTGTGGCTCATATGACACATAAACACAAAAGCATGACATTTACAAAGCAAGGTGTCAATTGAAAGGAGAGTAGGAGATTGACTTATGTGCATGTATTCCACGTAGTTACAAAACACAGAGTGACAATTATACATCATCAAGAGAAATGGGCACCAAACGCTAGCTTATACATCAGCAATTTTAACAACTCACCATGACCAACAATTCAAAGTCGGAAGGGACCCGTAAATTTTACAGATTATTTTTTTTTTTTTTTGCGCTTGAACCATATTCGACCAGATTATGTTAATGTGGATAAATTTTTACTTATGGAAGTGCAAGAAATCATTACTCCTCTTAGTTTTTTAATTGTGGATTGCTTAACAGTGCTTATATATATTTGACATTTTGCGCTCATTAAATGTATTTATGATATTTTTTATTAGTTAATGTACATGTACGTAGTGTTCCATTTGTGATGAACTCATAAACTAGCAAGGGACTTCTGTTTCTAAACAACAACCTAAAAGCTTTACCACATTCCTATGGTTGATTTGTACTGCTATATGGAAAATTCCACGATATATCAAGGTTGACCAAATATAGGAAGAAAGGGGGGAACGTGGTTCTACAATTCCTCCTACTTTGTAGGGATGTGCCAACAACCGTGTTAATGATTTATATTTATTATTTAATGGAGTCAAAGTTTCGTAGTTTCAAAAAAATGAAGACATGAAAAAACACTGTTTATCCTCATAGAGGTATCACATTTAAGTACATAGATACTACTTTTTGTGTATACATGTATCACTTTTTGTCATCACGTACCATTTTTTGTGCTGCACAAAAAAAGTGATACTTATATACCCAAAACAAAAGTGGTACTTGTGTACAAAAAAAGTGATATCTATATACCTAAAAGTGGTAACTCTGTGAGAGTAAATAATGTTTTTTTATGCCCACGTCAGAATTTTGGTCAACTTTATTTTTTTGAAATTATAAAACTTTGACTCAATCAAATGATAAATATGAATTATTAACACCATTTATATCTAAGAATTCCTAAATCTTAAGATTCACATTCAACCTTGCTCCCAAGTCACTAAGATTAAGGGCTTGTTGAATCTAATGCTAATTCTGGAACTTTACATACTATTTACTTTAAGAATCAGATTGAAATTATAAGATTCATATAGCGGACCATCAAATAATTAAAAAAAAAAACAAAAAAAAAACTTGGCTTCTTCTTCTTGTTGTATATATGTCTTAATAGATGCCAATAATCAATAATATGAATGCCACGTAAGTGAGATTAACATTCCTTTGGTCCATGATTAATAAATAATAATCAATAGACATCTGGAATAAAATCAGAGTTTCGAATCCATGCCCATGCAATGTCCAACTACTCATAACCAAATAAAGTGATCTTCACGTGTGCTTTCGATCTGTTTCATATATATATATGTGGGTGAATAATTGGATCACTGACATTTTATCCCCCAAGGCCTCCTGCAACCAAACCTACCACGCTCTCAGTTGTATTAATATTTATATATATTCCACTCTAAATTAACGTCATAAGTCATACGTATGACTTTAGTCATACGATTTAATTTGCTTAATTTATTTTAACAATTAATGGATTCCCCAAATGACATTCCGTACTTTGTTAAAACCACCACACAAAATATATATTTATATACACCGACATAACAATTGGGACTCTAACTCGAGTTATATATATAATCTCTTTCCCAATGGAAATTTGAGAGTTGGAGTATCATTATGGATGTGTGGTTGATTTTTTATATTATAAAAAGCACTTGATATTTCGTGCGTACTATTTTAAACATGTATATCATGTCTTCTTGATATAGGCTCCCCACCTTTGAAGGATGATTGACCTCCAACAAACCTATTCACTGTTTTGTGTGTGTGTCGGCATATATATATATATATATATATAAGGAACAAGTTAGAGAATCATGTTAATCGTTCAATCAATGCATGTTTTTTTGTTTTTTTCTTTCGGTTCTTTGTCAAAAACCATCTAATTGATTTCTATCACAGGGCGCATACATCTTATCTGTCTAAAATTATTAGGTATCTCGGAGTTATATATGGTCTCGAACAATCACAATCGTAATTACATAAAGTTACAACAGGTTGTATCAGTTTTATTAATGAAGTGTACACATCAACCATGTGCAAAGGTACTTATGAGAATTGCGTTTTGGCTTTTTTCTCCAACTTCACCTTTTTATATACAGAATGACAGAATTTACTCACTGCGTACATAATTGATTTGTCTCGTCATTCTCATTTTTCTTGTCTAACACTAGGAACCTCTAATCGGACTGATAGATGAAAACATTGAAGATAAATTAGAGCATACATAGATGTTCTAATAAATCTAAAATCAAAGTAAACGTTCATAAATTCCTGCTGTCAAGATCATCAATATATTTTGTTTCCCGGTAAATCCATAATTCATTAAAAGGGAAAACACTGTATTTATATGTTCTCTTGAGTTTATTCCACTTATATATGTATGTTTTTGTATACTTGTAATTATGTGATTGTATACCCATCACTTGATTAACCATAATGACAAACAAAATTATCCAACAACTAGCAAAAGAAACTACAGCTTATAGAGTTTCAAGAAATGTTTGCCTTACCAAAAAAAAAAAAAAGAAAAAAAAAAAAAGACAAATAGTATAATTTTAAGGCTTCCTAGGGAGAGAGAGGGAAGCAAAAAACGAGGGTGAAAGAAGTTTTTTTATTATTAATTTTAAATCAAAGTTTTGAAACTTATTAAATCCCATGCCTGACGAGATATACAATGTAACACTGTAAAGAGAGAAAAAGCTGACGTGCGAAAAGAGATCGAGAGAAAAGGCTGATGTTTGTAAAATAAAAAATCTTTATGGAAGAAACGACAAACGTACGATCATTTGGCTTCTAGCTAATAATTCCTTCCTATCTTCTCCATATGGGTCCCAATATGACCAATAATTCCACCCACTGTTTTGCTGTATATGTGTGGATATTCTTCTTCTTTTTTCCGGTAAGTATATGTGTATATTCATCATATATGGAACCAGATAAGAAAAGCATGTTAATGGTTTAATCTACGCTATCTTTTTATTTTTTTTCAAAGGCAATCGATGAACTCTTTTGTTTTCTTGTTTATTGTCTTTGTTAAAATTAAGTCAAAATCCATCTCATTACTATCACAGACTAAAACCATCCCAATATTCCCAGTACATTCGCCCATTTGCTCCAGGCATTATTTTACTTATCCGCATTCCAAATAGATACAATAGTAGTTAGCATAGTTACTGCAGAGCAAATTAAATGATATTTTGTCTCAGACTCTCAGCCATCACTCACACTAAAAAAGTGTGAGAGTTGTTCAGACTGTCAGACTTCGTAACACATAACTCTATGGCAGATTTTACTCCGTTCCTCTCCCAAAGCCACTCAACCGAACCCGAAACTCCAACGCTCCACAAACACCAGTTCTACTCCCTGGATGACACCATCGAGCGGTGTATTGGAGGAGACTTTGGGTGTGTCCAGTTCCTTCAAGTCCTCCTCGTGTCCCTCGCGTGGGTCTTCGATGCGCAACAATTATTCATCAGCGTCTTTGCAGACGCTCAGCCAACATGGCACTGCACAAATCAACTGGCATGCAACTACACGACCACAAACATCTGCGAGCTTCCGAAGAATTCATGGGCATGGGATTTATCCCCACACACTTCCATCATATCGGAGTGGTCTTTAGAGTGTGCCGGCTCCTTCATCACCGGCCTGCCGGCCACCTCCTTCTTCCTCGGTTGCATGTCAGGTGGACTGCTGCTGGCAACACTGGCGGACTCGTCACTCGGCCGCAAGAACATGCTACTCCTGTCATGCTCACTCATGTCTGTAGCTGGCCTCCTTACAGTGATTTTGTCCACCAGCGTCTGGATCTACTCGGCTTTCAAATTCGTCAGTGGGTTCGGACGAGCAACAGTCGGGACATGCTCCCTCGTGTTGTCAATGGAGCTCGTCGGCAAAAAGTGGAGGGGAGAAGTCGGGATCATTGGCTTCTTGTGTTCCACTTTAGGGTTTCTCTCATTACCACTCATCGCTTACCTGAATAGGACCTCTTCATGGAGAATTCTGTATCTATGGACTTGTATTCCAACAATCATCTACTGCACATCAGTCTATTTCTTCGTTCCCGAATCTCCAAGATGGCTTTTTGTCAGAGGACGAAAAGAAGAGTTCATGGCAACACTCAAGCACATAGCACAATACAACAGCAGCAACTTAACCCGCTGGAGCTTCTCCGGCATGTCTATCGAGCACGAACCAGGGAATAACACGGATCTTTACTCAGCAGTAAATATCATGTTAGAGAAAAGATGGGCGATTCGGAGGTTGTTGACGTTGATGGTGGTGGGATTTGGGGTGGGTATGGTGTACTATGGATTGCCGTTGGGGGTCGGAAACTTGGGATTCAATCTCTATTTGGCCGTCACGTTTAATGCCTTGTCGGAGGTTCCGGCTTCGTTGATCTCATTTTTCTTGGCACGGAGACTGAACAGGAAGAGTGCGGTTTTAGGGTTCACAATGGTGAGTGGGGTTTGTTGTGTGATGTGTGTGGTGCTCGTGAGGGATGAGTTGCAAATGTTGGCGGAGATGGCGTCGTTCTTCAGTGCGTGTACTGCGTTTAACATGCTGTTGATTTACACCATGGAGTTGTTTCCTACGTGCGTGCGTAACTCGGCGGTGTCCATGGTGAGGCAGGCGCTGGTGTTTGGCGGAGTGTTCAGTCCATTGTTGGATGGTAAGGCGTCGTATGGGGCGTTTGGGGTGACCACAGGGTGTTGTGGGCTGTTTGTGGCATGTCTGCCGGAGACTAGGGGTGGGATCCTTTGTGACACCATGGATGAAGAGGAGCAAAAGGAGAGAGCAGCAGTGGCCGCTGCCTCGTATCTCCAATCCCATGCATGAACAAAGAGTCAATGATATCGAGTGCCGTAATCAGAAAACCTACCTGGCTCTTCCTACCTGAGTGGGGAGGAATTTTTAGATGCTTCCGACCATGTGATTCTAGTCGATCACAAATTTTCGCCCAGTGAGTGAGACTTATGTGTCCTTTAATCTTTATTAAGTTTTTTATATTTTATTATTGTATAAGGGTGGCCATTTGTGTTTGCGTTGATAATTGTGTCGTGAGTATTATGGGAAATAGGTAAATTTAAACTTAACCTATTTAATAATCTGTGTTTAAAATCGTTTATTAAACAGATAAACGTGTTAACTCATTTAATGACTTATTCATCAAAACAAGACATTTAATATTTAACTAAATACTAAATAATAAAAAAAATTTGTCATAATTAACCTAAATATTCAAAATAAAAAGAAAAATCATAAGGCGTAGACAAGGTTTATGTTGAAATCACTTAACAATTCATAATAATTAGGTTTAAACTGGTAATATATTACATAGGTCATATTTACGATTATAACATGTTGAGTTAAATGAATCATAAATAGGTTACACGGGTTGAACCCATTAACCCTAACCTGACACGGTTAAGTAAATAGGTTAATCTTATCGACCATTTTATGACCCAAAACCGTTTACAATACATAGTAATTGGGTTTAAACAGGTAACATATTACATAGGTCATATTTACGATTATAGCATGTTGAGTTAAATGAATCATAAACAGGTTACATGGGTTGAACCCCTCAATCATAACCCGACACAGTTAAATAAACGGGTTAATCGTGTCGACTATTTTATGACCCAAAACCGTTTATGCTAAACCCAAACCTTTTTAAGTCGTGTCATGTTATCGTGTCGTATTGTAATTTGTCACTCCTATATAAGACAATATTATTATTATTATTATTGATCGACAAATAAGACTATTGGATTAGTTCAATTGTTAGACTACATATCATTTGTGACAAATAAGACTATTGGATTAGTTCAATTGTTAGACTACATATCATTTGTCACAAAGAAAATCTAAAAGGAAGCAAACACTTGTATCAATGGGATTGATATGAATAAATCATCTTATTGAGCTTCTTCATAATTAAATTTTCGCAGGTGATATTATTTATTGTATAATATATAGTTTCCAAACAGTGCAACTTCAATGTATCTGTAACGACTCCAAAACTGAAACAATTAAAAAAAAAAAAAATTACATGATCTCTGCTAAAAATGATCCTACAATAACCTGTTCAAATGAAAAAAAATGCAATGGTCTTTCAAGACCTATCCAACATACCCCAACACACAATACAAAAAAAATATAATACATTCCCCAATATCACAACATCAACAACCTCCCCAAGTTAGCCCATCATCATCATCCCATTTAACTTAAGCATTTACATAGTCTCAGTTTACGACAAAAATTAATAATCAGGGATCTTAGTTATGTTACAGGGCCATGATTTACAAAAATAAATACTCTTTTACATAGTTTGAGACTATACCAAAAAATGGGCTAATATACAAAAGATAACAAAATACAACTCCTAATCTTCTTCAAGCTTGCGGAGGATTGTCATCCGCCACTTCTTTTCCGAGCCCTGAAAAATGTTAAATAATAGGGTGAGCAAAATTGCTCAGTAGGTAGTGCCTAAAACACACCTCTTGTGACCCCGTGAATCCAAATATTGAACAGGGATAAAGAATAAGGATCATTCTAAACTGGGGAAAACACGATATAAATTTCTCAAGTTTAAGACTAACAAATTTTCATACCATGAATACAATGCTATGCATGTCATTCCCCACTTTCAAATTCACTTAAAAAAAAACTTCATTTTTCAAACCGTTAACGTAACCCGTCCCTCGGTATCCCCTTGGTGACACGAGAGTAGGATTGGCCACTGTCCCTGACCCTTGGTAACCTCGAGGCGTCATTTGGGGCTCAATTGGCTCAACTACACTAGGGCGATCTCCCTAATTCTCTCTAGGCTATATTAACGCCACGGACTCTTGGTACCTCTTTGGCGTGTTTTCACAAAATCTTTTTCTCAAAATATTTTTCCCAAAAACCCATTCTTATCCACTTTAAATCACTTTACCCTTTCTTATACCCAATGACATGCATGTATGTCTCATACCTTCATTACTATGGAAATAAGAAATTTTCATATAACACAACTAGTCATTCTTTGTTACAATTTCAAAGAAAATCAAACAAGAATTCATACATCATTTCTAGCACAATTTACAACTTAATAGACATAGGAAAACAACATTTAAGAATGGTTTTCATACAAATCAACATGTAAATATAAAATCATAAACTTTACACATAAAGATAATAATAATAATCATGCTAGGGTAATTACCATCAATTAGACAAATTAATAACAATTACTAGTAATTAATCCACAAAAAAACAAGAAAATGTGAGTTAGAGACCCTCACCTCAATTTTATGCAAAATCCCCAATTTTCACCTCAAACCCTAGGATTTTCGAATCTCCTATAGTGCACCAACCAAGGAATTGAGGAAGAGTGCGGTGCTAGGGTTCAAAATGGTGAGTGGGGTTTGTTGTGCGATGTGTGGTGCTTGTGAGGGATGAGTTGCAAATGTTGGCGGAGATGGCGTCGTTCTTCGGTGCGTGTATTGCGTTTAACATGCTGTTGATTTACACCATGGAACTGTTTCCTACGTGCGTGCGTAACTCAGCGGTGTCCATGGTGAGGCAGGCGTTGGTGTTGGGTGGAGTGTTCAGTCCATTGTTAGATGGTAAGGCATCGTATGGGGTGTTTGGGGTGACCACAGGGTGTCGTGGGCTGTTTGTGGCATGTCTGCCGGAGACTTGGGGTGGGATCCTTTGTGACACCATGGATGAAGAGGAGCAAAAGGAGAGAGCAGCAGCGGCCGCTGCCTTGTATCTTCAATCCCATGCATGAACAAAGAGTCAATGATATGGAGTGCCATGATCAGAAAGCCTGGCTCTTCCAACCTGGGGAGGAATTAGTTTTTAGATGGTTCGGACCATGTGATTCTAAGTCAATCACAAATTTTCGCCCTACTAAATGTGTGAGCTGAGTATTGTATGTGAACTTTAATCTTTATTCATTTTTTATTTTTTATTGTTGTGTAAGACATTATTATTATTATTATTATTTTTTGGGACAAGTAAGACAATTGGATTAGTCCCTTTGTTAGACTGCATATCATTTGTCATTAAGCAAATTTAAAAGGAAGCAAACACATGTATCAATGGGATTGATATGAATAAATCATCTCATTGTTAGTCTATGAAAGAAGACCTAAACTCATAATAAAATTTTTTCAGGGTAAGGTGATTAATTACTTATTGTATAATATATTGTTTCCAAACATCAATATAAGCAACTTAAATGTATCCCAAGCTCTTTTCAACGTATTATAACTAGGGGGAATTATTCATGGGCTAACCTGGTTAAAGCCAGGTGCAATTAAAAAAAAAAATTTAGTATTACTGTTCTTATAAGCCCATGTACTACTCTTATTCTTTCTATCAGCCAGTAAAACAAAACAGGGCCAAGCCCAGCAAACCAAACACATTGTTAGTCTATGGAAGAAGACCTAAACTCATCGACTCTTCTTATGTACATCATACATTGATACACAAATCAAAATCCGGTGTAACAGAGGCAAATCACTCATCTTTGAATCGGGTCTCAACATGTTCTTCAGCCAGAGCATCCCCTGCTAAACCTATACCACAAAACCATCTCAAATAAGCAATGGGAGATTCACCCGAAAAGAATTTGATTGCACAATATAAATGAGCATATAGCAAAAAAAAAAACAAGGGAAAGGTACAGAAAAATATGATTTTATCTTCTTCTTCTTCTTCTTCTTCTTCTTCTTTTTTTTTTTTTTCTTTTTTTTTCAAAGTTTAAGCAAACTCACACATACTTACAATACTGCCCCTAATAGGGTTTGAACACTCAATCTCCCCCTTGAACTAGAGAGATCATACTATTTAGACTAATGCTCGGTTATAAGAGAATATGATTTACATTAAATGAAACTATTATTTAATTGAAGTAAATTGACCATGACGAATATAAACACATCATATAACTACGGAAATGAAGGAAATCTTTAAAATCAGAGAAAGAAATTAAGGTGGGAAAGCAATTAAACAAAAGAATCGAATTTGAAATAGTACCCATATAGAGTTATGTTGAAACATTTTCTCAAGCAGATCAAAATTACAAATAGAGCTTCAAAAGATAGGAAATTTTCATGCAGTGCTGGAAATAGCTAGATTGAGACAAAGCAGTAATGGAATGAGGAACTCACCAGCCTGCAATGAGACCCCGCTTAGCGGGTGCAAATTAGAGGATTTGAGCTCAAAATGCTTGCTTTGATGGATTCTTCAATGAGCCCGAGAAATCCAATTGGAGTGATATGTTCTTGTTGGGCATGTGTCATGATGTGAGGTGGCTATGGATGAAGAAGGACAAGGATTACTCAGACGTAAAGCCATGTATATAGTATTGTGTAGACAGAAACAAGTTTACAGTTTGATCACTTCAAAAATATCACCAAACCAATCATGAAAACATGTTCCAAGAAAGGTTAATGTATATATACACACACAAAGCATATGGCTGTTTCATATATGTTGTAAAGAAGAGACCATCAGGACTGTAATACTCTGAAAGCAACCTTCTATGTCAATTCTCTCTCCCCACCAAACCTTGGAGGGTTGAACCATTAAGAAGTTGCAAACAACTTCTCTCTCTAGATTCTTGAAGGTTTGAATTTCGGATGGGCAGCAGCCGGACATTTAACCAGACTTCTGTGTGTGATTAGCTTCTCTTATCTCCCAACAACTATATTACTAAGTGCTATGCTTGTTTATTTTGATTACATGTTTTGAAAAATTAAAAATATACTCTGTATTACATATATAAAAAAATAAGTACATTACATAGCTTCCTACAAATAAAATAAAACAATACAATTCAGAAAAAAAAAAAAAAAAACACATTAATACTTTTCCACGTATAAAAAATATATATTAGACAGTACAATTAACCGCCCCTTTGTGTGTAACGTGTCATAACTTCATTTTGCGATCCTTAGAAGAATGTTGACGGAACACATTTCTAATCGGCTTAGAAGAATTAGCAATAGAACGGATAATATTGATCTTATGAGACATACGATGGAACATTTGTAAAATCAATTTG